AAAAAATAAAAATAATTTTTCCGTTGTCTTATTTTTCTCTAATATCATAAATATTTTTCATCATGTTTTTTATGATAAGATGAAAACAATAACTACTAGGAATATTTAAGATATTATAATTATGAATACTAAATATAAACACTAAAATAAAAAAAAAAATTATTTATTTAAAAATCCTCTCCTTTTTCCTATGAATCACAAAACATTATTCTATATCATACTATACTATTGGTTACATACATTGGAACAATCTCAGATGATTAAGACAATAAAAAGAAAATTCTTTTGTAATAACCTCATAAAATCCTTCTTCTCATCTGCATCCTCTTTGTTTCCTTTCCCAATCGAATATATTAGTTGCTCGGTCATATTCATATAATACATCTCTTTCTTATGACACAACCGATCAATTGTAATCTAAATAAGAACAAGAAAGATGGTGTGATGTAACATGAAAAGAATAGAAGATAAGAATAATTATTGAAGAAGTTTTATTGAAAAAATAAAAAAGTTTTATTAAATAAATAAAAAATATTTCAATACATTAACATGTTCCCTCTCCTATTTATACAGATTAGAAAGATTTCCTCGTATAATTGGAGAAATCTTTATCTTCTATTAGTAATCAATGACATCAGCAATTTTGGATCTCTTAAGACCTTTTTCTTCTTTTTTGTATAGATAAGCTTAAATCGTTGCAAAACGGGATGAATGTATCTATGAAGTACACAATTGAAGATCATGTCCTCTACAATTACCATTGAAGATCGAGGGAATTCTCAACTCCCATCGTCCGGAAAAGTCAACTCGATCGAGAAAGAAGACGAGCAAAAGATTACGACTTGTTGTTGAATTTATATACGAGTTCTAAGCAATGGAATCTAAGAAGAGCTTCAAAGCTTTGCCTACCAAGAAAGAGTTTCTAAGAACAGCATTATTTCAAGAACAGGTTCAGATTGATTCCGATGACGAAGGAGTAGGCTTCCGGCTTCTGTGTCTCTCCGGCGGAAGACTCGTCCTCCTTATCTGCTGACGAGAACATCGCCCTGGTAATCCGTCACCGATCAGCAAATATCTACAAGCATCGTGGAGTTGGCTTTGCCTTGCTATGGTGACACCGATCTGTCCCTCTTTTCTTCGGCGCAAAGCAACATCATCACATAATGACAGGTCGATGGTGTCAGTACGAGTGATACACTCGACAGGAGATGCAGCGCAGCCGGAGATGCTACCGGTGCAGCGCAAATTTCACTTGAATGCTCGCACTCGGTGGAACAGCGACGGTAAGTGCCTCGTTCGGTGCCTGCAATCTTGGCTAGGCATTTCGTCGAGCAGTTGGCATGTGAGCGCGCGAATCCACACTAACTACGTCTGACCTTGCGCTCTTACTAATATACTCCAAGTAGATATTTATTATGATTTGTTGACTATATAATTGACAAATAAATACTAGTATTTGTATTATTATTGATAGGGAATGTCCCCACCCCAACTACAAAGCGACACCTAGGAGCTACCGTTGAATGACTTGATGGGTGACCGAGGGGTAGAGGGGCTGAGTTAGTAGATGGCGGGCGGGCAACGTCACATATAAGAGGTCCACATAGCTCAATTCATGCAATCAAGAACGTACAAGGTTGGTTGCTTGTGCGATCGCACCAAACAAGAATCACGGTTGGCATTAAGGACTTGTGCTCCTTTGGATCGACTCGACAGGTATAAAAACTAACGTCTTAACTCGTAAAAAAGAATTAAATCTTTTTCATCGTAAAAAAATCACTTGCTAACTTAACATTTGTACAAGTCAAGTTAGGAATTCCTCTCCTAACGTTGACCTATCTTGTAGAAACTCTTCAGAGACGAGATCGATCGATCTAAGAGCGATATAAAAGAACCCAAGACTAAACCCATGATTGACCTCACCTTCCCTACCTTCTTTTCCTCCCCCCCCCCCCCCGAAGACCCACGTGGACAACCTTGTATACTCAAATATGACCAAGTCGTATTGATTGATCGGTCACGACGTAAAGTTACACAACAGTTATATCATCATAATTCTAAATTATTAAAAAAAATAACAAAGTAAATATTATTATTTTATATATATTTTAAATAGAAGTATATATATATAAGGGTAATTATCATAGAAAATATTCATATTTAGAGTATTTCTCGAAAGTAACTTTTGTTTTTTTTTTTTTAAACAATGGCTTTAATTTAAAAATATCCCTGAAAGAATTTGTTGTCAAAAAATATTATTATTATTTATTACTAGTTTCTAAATAATAATATAGTGATCTTTATTTTATTCGTTTATAATATTTTTTAGTAATATTTATAGTATTTTATTGATGCATTAAAAATATTATAATTATTACTGAAAAATACTATAAGTGACATTATATTGTGTTTCATTAGTTATCATTATATATATATATATATATATATATATATATATATATATATATATATATATATATATATATTTGTGTGTGCGCGCGCGCTGAAATTAAATGTAAAGGGCAAAAAATCACGCTTTGGTGTATATAAATTGGCTTTCCGGCTCACAATCTTCCGGAGCTGGACCGGATTCCCAACTTTAGACCCAAAGCAGACCGGCCGGCTTACCTGAGACAACATTCTCTACAAAGAGGTACGGATCTTTCAGCCGTCCCTCTGGCCGTCGACTGCCTCTCGCCTTAACTTCTTCTTTGGTTCGTGATAGAACCGGTGAGCAATCGTCCTCGCTAATTCGTATGACGGGGCAATAGGCCTGTGGACTACCTTCCCAAGTTCTGATGCCATCCTTCTTGTTTAGTTTCTTAACCCTCCCTTTCTTGATCCTGTGATTTGATGTTTTCTTTCTTGACTTATCCACATTCTGAGCTTCGATTGAAGATTCGATTGTGTTGGGAGCGAGCAATGCAATGGCGTTGGTTTCTTTGCTTCCTGGTCCATGACATAATCGATGTAAGGCGGTGGTTTGATTTCTTGCGCCTCTGGGCAATGATTTGTTATTTTGGTGGATGATCCGGGAATTTCCTTATTTTAGCAATGATTATTTTGGGTTCTTGGGGTCGGTTGTGATAATTGTCATCAAGATTCGAGATTTTTTCTTCTTCCGTCACTTGTTAGATGAGTGGTTTTGTATTATTCCCATTCGATATAAGTTCTTGAATAGTAGACTAAGAAAATGGCATTGTTTTGTCAATGGAAGCATGTTGATTGAAACAGACAATTTTGGCCTAGGATTTGCTTCGTTTGCTGCTATTTCTGGTTATCTAATTCCAGACAATATTTGCCTACCTTTTAGTTGGACATCTGATTTTACTTTTTCTTGAACCATACAAATTTATAATTTTGGAAAATGTTGTGAATGCAATGCCTCATCTGGACGTAACCACTTGAGTGTTATACAGTACGAACCAAATTTACCATCCTGACAGTTACATATCAAGCTAGCAAATAGGAACAAACAACAAATTATTAGAAATGGAAAAAAAATATTGTCAAGAAAGCAAAATATTTTGTCATTATTTATCTAATTCCTTTTCTCAATTCCTTGGCTTTCTCAAAACCTATTACTACGCTCCCAATGAATTTTCCTGATAATTATCTTATTAGAAATCGAAACAGATCTTGTAAGAAAAAAGATTATCACGTTATATAGTCTAACTTTTGATTCCACAACTTTCCTGGAATCTTTTATTATAATCATGGTTCATCGTTCACCTTACTGGTTCGTACCGGTATATCGACCAGTCATCGGTATGGCATGTACCAACATACCAACACACGATACGGTGTGATGTACTGGCAAACTAGTATGTACCGTCCATACCAATCTCCTATCGGATCGGTATGTACTACCCATACCGGTTGGTACGTCACGGTACGATGAACCTTAATTATAATCTTGACTTTCCTTGTAATTGTGTTTGCATTTAGATTATATAACAACATTCTTTGTTTGCAATGAACAATAAATCCTTATCATATAAAATTAAAGTCACACATAGTTTTACTAGAAAAAAAAAAGTCATTGCTATATTAGAAAGTTTAAATTCATTATATGGGACCTGCACACACTGAACATCATCTTTAATATTGTAAGCCGTGCACCCTACTCACAAAGTGCTCATGAGTTTTGACATCGCTCAGACTGGTAGCACTTAGTAGCACTAAAGCCGATAATGTCATTCATAGATCACAACATATTTGACTCATTCCATGTTAGATCCATACATGACTTGGATGAATGCTGCTATTTAGACAGATCGAGTCAACCACTAAAAATTTTAGCGCTAATATCATCTCTCACATACTTGATTAGTGGGGCCCACGATCATGGGTTCCTGCTGATCACATCAGTGAGGGACCACATTACCACTGAATTTTTAGAGGTTTGGCTCGATCTACCTGGATAGCTTTTTCCTACTCAAGCTTTGCCCAACATCTATGCCAAGTTTGGTTCCTGTATAGGCTATCAGTAAACTTCCGGCATATGCCACTCTTTCGGAATTGGATTAGATTCTGAACCTTACAGAATGAAACCAGCCAGCTCATTTGGAATAAGTATGGCTCTTTCTTTACTCTCTAGACTGCAGCAGCTTGCATTTTGCCTTAAATTCTTCTTGGTTTCTTGGGAAAAATGGTGAGAGATCGTCCTCCCAAACCAAGTGAAAAAAGGCCTTATTTGCTTACCATTTTTAGTTTTCATGAGGTATACGCACAATATCTCATCCTTTCTGTTTACTTCTTTTATATTATTTTAATTTGATATTTGGTTGGCCTATTACATTCATAATTAGAGTTGATTAACTATCATGCAATTGAGGGTGAGATTTGGTTAAAAGGGTAGGGTTGCTCCTTTATACCCTAAGTGTCCATTTTTGAGTCACAATAACAACCTCACTGCTTTGGTTGTACTGGATCTAATATGGCACATCAGTATCTTGTTCCATGCCATAATCTTAGGAGGTGTTTTGATTTCTCATGGATGAACGTCAGTCATTGAGTTGTTGGTTTGATATTGTTTTCTCTCGTGATTTCTTTCTTTTGGATTTTTTTATTGGTGGCGTATGTTTTCCTGTTTGTGTTGTTATTGAAATTTTCTTTCTCCACCACTTATTAGATGGATCCTGTACTCTTATTTGGGTTGCCTTCAGAATGTGGTCCTTTTTGTGGTCTCTGCCGTCAATTTTGGAGAGGTTTAGCTATCTCAGTCTTCTAATCTAAGTTCTGAATTTCTCAAGGGTGTTAAGAAAAAGCCTTGTATTATAGATGCAAGCATGTTAAGTGAAACCGTAATTCTGAAAGTAGGACTTGCTTTGTGTCATTTCGAGATAATCAGTACTGTATGCTTTGTTTACCTCTAAGTTAGACATTGTATTTAATTTTTGTTAAAGATACAAATACATAGTTTCAGAGCCTGCAATAATACCTCATCTGGCTTAAGTCAGATGAATTTTAAATGTACAATACAACCCACTCGGGTAAGATATATTCTGATAATTACATAGCAAACCATAAACGAGCTCTTTAGTAACAATTAAAATTTTTTTAGAAAGTGAAGGAATTCTTATCAAGATATTTAACAATTTCTCATGTAAATTTTATTTAGTCCAACCTTTTGACGCTTTCTTGAAACCCATTATTATATCACCTGAATTTCCATATACTTGTGTTTCCACTTTATATTATATAGCTATATTCTTATTAATGTTGCTTTTTGATAGGATATAAATATTTGAGTCGACTTGTCACATTTTCACCAATAAAGATAAGCTTTATTATGGTGTTCATTTACTTCCCTTACCTCTCATGCTAGCTTATGTGGATACAATAACACATTTACATTTAAGCTTATCGTAAGCTTATTGAAAGACAAAAAGGAATCACTAACCGAGTCATGCTTTTCTGACTAGATTACATATTTTATTTCGCAGTTCTCACTAATCGAACTTTTCTTAACTTGATTATGCTCACTAGAGTAGCTGTCTGTGTTTTTCTGATAGGTGTGAACTCAATATCCGCTACTTAACACATAATCTTGAGTCCTTGGTGTCAGCTTCAGTAGATAAATTTCACTGAGACGATACTTTGCAACTCTGGTATTCTTTGTAATAATTTATCATCAAGGTTGTTCAGAACCCTTATGCATCTGACTGGCTGAGTGAATGTGATGGATGGAAATGATGTTGCTACTGATTATATGGTAGCCAAACTAATTGATATGGGTTTTGAATTTGCTAAAGCTACAGAGGCAATAGAAGTTGTTGGCCCATCACTTGATGATGCAGTAGAATTCATCTTGAATGGCTCTTGTAAGAGCAATAATAATGGACGGGCATATCACTTTTTAAGTTGTTCGACCAGTCAAAGTTTTGATGAAGAATATGGACCATCACATGCTCCGAAAAGGATGAAGCAGTCAAATATAACAGATCATCTTCCGCCATTGTGTGGAACAGATAAAAATGCTCCTCACAATGCTTCTGGAGTTTCCTTTTCTGGAACTGGTGGCACAGGGAGATCAAAGTGCAGAAAATTAGATCAGCAGACAATTTCTAATGTTTGTGCGGCTTCTGAACTGTATTCCGCTTCAGAATCTGCTCAGCAGGTTCCTGAAAATGATGTGAATGACACAGAGTTGGTGTCACATGGAAATAGAAGGTCACAGTCACGTAGCTTGTTCAATCAAGAAGTTGAATTAGACTGGGAGCAAAAAATTGGCGATATTTTGAAAAAACATTTTGGATTCTTCTCCTTAAAGGGTTTTCAAAAGAAAGCTTTGGAGGCTTGGTTAGCTAATAGGGATTGTCTTGTTCTTGCTGCCACAGGATCTGGTAGTTTTCTTCACTTGCTTTCACATTGTGATATATATAATTATCTCTTATAAGTGGTCTGTGTTGATGAGCTTGGACATAGTTTTGCAATATTTATTGTGAAAATGAGGTTAAAAGGCATCTTTCACTTATTCAATCACTGATGCTGCAGGAAAATCTCTCTGCTTTCAAATTCCAGCATTGTTGACAAGCAAGATCGTGATTGTCATATCACCATTAATAAGTCTGATGCATGATCAATGTTTAAAACTGGCAAAACATGGGGTATCTGCATGCTTCCTTGGGTCTGGACAACCTGACAGTACTGTTGAGTACAAAGCCATGTGTGGTATGTACAAGATAGTTTATGTTTGCCCTGAGACAATATTAAGGTAGAATTTTGTTTTCTTTCATCTTTCTCATGCCATTTTGGGAGGTAGCAAAATTTTTTAACATGGAAAAGGTTGAACAAGGGGTGTTTTTACAGACTTATAGAACCACTTAGGAGGCTTGCAGTAAATCCAGGGATTGCATTGTTTGCCATTGATGAAGTTCATTGTGTTTCTAAGTGGGGCCATGATTTTCGACCTGATTACAGGTATGCTATTTTAATTAATAAGTTAAGCCTCAACTTACTGTTTGCTTTTTTATCTTGTGGTGTGATGAATAAATGCTTGATTTGCATAGAGTGTCCTGCTTTTTAAGGTCAATAAATTGAAAAGTAATAAATATCTTCTGTTTGATCTTTTTTCATGCTGGTAGGCGATTGCGAATGTTGAGAGAGAACTTCAATTCCTGCAATCTTAAGTCACAACAGTTTGATATTCCCTTGATGGCGTTGACTGCTACTGCAACAATTCCTGTTCGAAAAGACATTATCGAGTCCTTACATATGTCAAAGGAAACAGAGATCATACTGACTTCTTTTTTCAGACCAAATCTTCGATTCTCAGTATGTTGCAGTGTTTTTTCTTCCAAATTTTGCCAATAGTTGCTTCTTGTTAGTCTAATAAATTGCTGATTTTTGCTAATAGTCTCTTCTTATTTTGTGATTCAAACATATAATGATTGAGCTAAACCTTACAGCTTCATTTGATAAAGATGAGCTTATAGCAACTGAAGTCCTGTAACCCTGTAGTAGAGGAATCCTTGTGCACTAGGCTGCCCTTGTTTAATAATTAATACCAAAATTAAGACCATTTGTATCTAGGTTATTTCAAAAACTTTTCTTTAGTGACGATGAGTTGTCATGGTGGGACTGAATTATGGCCAGCATTTAGCTTGAGTAAGCTAAAAAAGTCGAGTGTTGGATCGTGAAACTAGTGTCTTGTCTCCTGAAAGAGTGGCTTGAAGTTGAGGAATGCATTCCAAGTATCATATCCTCTTGAGAACCACTTCATAAGAGTGGTTTGGGGACAACAAACAAGTGAAGCTATCCTAACCAGGCAAATTCATCTTTTACTATTTTAGCAATTGAGTTATTTTGGTTGATGAATATAGGAGACAATTAAAGTTATGTATACCAGTTCAATTTCAGATCAGTGCAGATAGGAGAGTGGTATATGTGGTTCTTAAATGAGGCCATATAAAAATAGTGGATTATGTGGTTTTTTTTTTTTACTTTGAATCGAGCAATCTAAAGCTATTTTCAGTCTAGACCAATCAAAAACAGATCTGGTACAGATTGAATGACCTGTTTTTTCACATAAAACCATTGAGGGGTCTTCTTCCAGTTGCTCTGTCTGTCTCTCTCTCTCTCTCTCTCTTCTTCCCCCATGTGTTTCCTCTCTTTCATCTTTATCTCTCCCCTATTGCCAGTTGGCTTAGATATGACCAGTGCTTCAGCTGGATACAGGTCTGAATATTCCAGTAGCTAGTATCCAAGTCATGAAGAAGAGGTAAGGTTTTCACCTTTTTCTCTATTTTCCCCCTTTCACCTGATGACTGCTTATGTGTTTTTGTTCTGCTGGATCACTGGTATTTATTTTAAACATATATTTTAATCCACCAGTTTTAAGTATGTTATTCTAACCTGGATTAACTGGGTGAAATTATATTGAAAATTTTATTCTGTAGCCTCTCAAAACCAATGATAATCAGTGGATTTAGCCTCTTATTACCATTTTATGCCAACCATCTGCACAGAATCAACCATTTGCTAATGCTTGATCCTTGAAATTTTAGAAATTGTTCTTTTTGCCAAGTAAAACTTGGTGTGTAAGAGAAGGATGATTCACTCCATCTATTCCATCAGATCATGATCAGAACTTGTAGAAGCTATTTCCATGGCTATGTGTGTGTGTGTGTGTGTGTGTGTGTGTGGAAGTACTATGACCTGGTTAGATGTAGAAATCATTCTAAACTTGTCATTAATATTTGGTCTATCTATTATAGGTGTAAGTATAACCTTCCTTAGTGGATGAAGTAACAGTCTCTAGAACAAATTTTGAAGCTCTTCTCTAAGGTGGTAAAAGATGTTGCATATGGACTATAGATGTAAGTGCTGCCCTTGAAACTATAAGGTATATTTGCATCCTGTCTAGTATAAGTGCCTATAGTACCTGTGTAAATCTAGAGAACTAATTTCATTAAGGTCTAAGAAATTTCATGGAATTGACCTATTAATTTCTCTTAATATGTCTTGCAAGTAAATGAATGTTGAAAAATTGTGGTATTTTTCTTCCAGAAAATCTGAAACCAGATGGAGAATGGAAATTGGTGAGACTTGACATTGTGAAATGAATACTGTGTGTTGTAATTTAGAAGTAACAAGAGGCAGACTCTTAGATGCTTAATGCATCATTGGAGATGCATGCATGGACCCTTGGTTTTTGAAATACATCATTGGAGATGAGCATATGAACTAAAATATGGACCCATTTTTCTTTATGTTCTAGAACTTGATGACATTCTTTTTATTTTTTTAGGAAAGAGGAATACTCTTGTTTGGGGCATTAAATGCATTTAATTTGGAACATATTCTCTCTTTAAAGAGATCTCAAAGAGCCTTGGAATTGATGGATTATTGTGTTGAGTAATTGTGTTTAATTGAGTCTATTGTATTTTATACTTGAGCTTACTTGATTTTACATATAAATTTTGTACTTGAGTTTCCTCTATAGTTATGTTTTTTATAAATACTATTATATATCAATATGTTATAGAAAGAAGTCATAGTTACCATATATGCATTTTGCATTAGCATATACATCTGCACATGCAATTCATTAAAAAAAAGATCTATTTAAGTATAAATAAAAAATCATTAATCAAATATACATTTCTATTATGTAAATTTGTGCTAAGACCAAATAAAAAAATTTTCAGGATAATATTGATGCTTATTCAAAAGCTTATTTCAGTGATAATTTATAAGAAATGAATAAAAGTTTAAGTGATGAATGAAATAAAATGTTAATGAGATATTAGTAATGGTTAAAATATAAATTACATGTGTTCACATTTTTCAGGCTTATCTGATGGCATATGCATTATAGTTTCATGTATACAATAACACCACATATTGAGGCTGCATGGTCTTGTCCAAGGTAGTCATATGACTGCATATGCATATGCAGCCACATATGAGCTACAAGCTCATAAGACTATTTTTGTTCTGTTGATAGTTCTAGTAGCTAGCTGGTTGATGCTCTCACTAAGAAGCTAGTGAATAGGCATTTGTTGTATAAGCTGTTAGTTGCTAATCTTTTTGTATCGTGTTTTCTTCAACTTTCTTGTTGAGCTCTACCATGATATTATAGGAAAAAAAAGCACTTCATTCATAACTTTTTCCCATTTCTTATAGGTTAAACATAGTAGGACATCTTCAGTGTCATCATATGCTAAGGATTTCAAGGATCTTATAAGGAATTACATGGTGCCAAAAATGACAAGCAGAAAAGGACATAAAAATATCTCATATGAAGAAAACGATAATTCTGAGAACTATTCTTCAGGCTATGACATGTCTGCGGAAGACGAAAGTTCACTGCTTGACAGTGAAGAAGATGAGGATGATAATATATGTGACAATTATAAGGTTAATTTAACTGAAGATTCTTCTTCTTTGAAGGAAAATCAACTGACTGTCGAGTACCTGGAAGATGATCTGGACATTCCTTATGTTGTGGATGATTTGGATGGTACTCATTTTCATTTGCAGTATTTATCTTGTGGGCCTTCTAATTTACACCAATTTGTTGTAGCCTTCTTGATATTAATTTATCGATTTTGTTTAAGGCAAGAGGAAGATCTCATTCAGATGTTTTTTATTTTCCATACTGATTTAATTGTAAGAATATGAGTGAAAATTAACATGTCAATCATTCTTGTTTAGAACTAATTTATATGTGATGTATTACATGCTTTTTATGTTTCTGTGGTGAGATGACTGATATTTGACTATGCTTTGTTTCTTTGTTTTTCCCAAACTAAAGAATTATATGTGAAGTATTACATGCTTCATATGTTTCTGTGGTGGGATGACTGATTTCTGTCTCTTCTTGGTTTCTTTGTTTTTTCCAAACTAAAGAACTTCTATTAATTCAAAAGCTGTCTACAAAAGATCCCCTCTAAATCAGAGGTGATAAGATTACAAAAAGCTTAAGGATAATCACGCTTGGTTTCTTTTATGATGAAGTGGTGATATAGCAGTCTGTTACTTGCCTAGGTACTATTTTCTATGCATAGGGATTCATGACAATGAAATATTGTTTTTTTAATATTTAAATTTCGTTGCAAGTAGTTGCAATGATGTTTACAGTTTACAATGGGTTATCTAATGGTGTATCTCACATTTTAAATAGGTTATCATCCAATATGTTTCTGTCTAACTCAAAAATCTCAAGTTAATTTATTTCTAATATGAATTTGAATTTTCTTGCCTTCTGTGTGTTATGGATAATTGAAAATCAACTTGGACTACCAACTTTTGTTTCAAATTTGTCATGATACTGTTTTATACAAGTATTTTTTATTGTACAGAACAGAAGTCAATTTTAATTCGTTGTCTCTATTTGTTTTACCATATTTCTTCAGATAAACAGAATTCAAAACTCTGTTTATCCGAACATGAGACACTTTTGGACAATAAAAACAGTGTTGGTCATATAATAGGATGATAATGTACCTCTATAGTATTAACTTTGCTGATACATGTGAAAAAAATAATAAAATATATGTATTAGGATGCTGCACAAAATGCATCATAGATTATTTCATAGTAATATGTTTTTCTGCAAAAATGTCACATACACCTAATGCATCTGTTATTAGATATTTAGATTCTAGGTTCATGCAAGACTGTACCATCAAGCAACATTGTGAGGGAGCTTCTCATGCATTCAAAGTTTCAAAGTTCCAGTTATTCCTGTTCTTTAACAAAGATCCTACAATTCATCATCATTATAAAATTTGTCCATGATTACAGTATGAAACTACAAGTTTATACATTTAGCTTGGTACATTTAATCTTTGCTTTCAGGATGAAGACTGCATATATTGACCTCGAAATCTGAATTGGCAGGAGTCTCATGGAATGGGCTGCCATTTTTATTTCAAATTTATCACTTAATTGTTGGATGTGATATTTATTTTAGAATATATGCAAATTACATGGAAAACATGTTTTCCTTTGTAAAATCCAGTAATTTATGTTTCTTTTTTGTTTTCAGCCTAGAATTAGAAAACTTTGTGTATTAATTTTTTAGAATGACACACATATGTATCATTATGTTGCTTGATTCTCTTCTCTAGGTTAATTGTCTTGTTTATTTTGTAATGTTTCTTCCTCAACTTTTCTGCCAAACTAAATACGGAATAGCTGAAACCACTATAAAAAAAGTTTTAAAAGTTTGTGCCAAACAAAAGCAGATATTTCCATCCTTTCTTTCAAGCACCAATATTGCTCAAAGTTCTTTCTGCTTTTGATCTTTATGTATTCCCATCTTTAAATGGCAGTATTGCACCAATTTACTTCTAGCTAGTATTATATATTTATAATACTTTTTCTTTCCTCTCCCAATTTCTCTTGAATGTCTGTTGGGTAGCTAGTATTATATATTTATATATATGCATATACCTTTATTAACTTTTATATCTCATGAGATGTCCATAGCATATTTTGGAATTTTTGAAATCGTAAGCCATGGTGAAAACTGCAACCGTTTGTTCTATTTCATTCTCTTTTTCTTCTACCTAATTTTCATGTCGCTTTCTTTCATGAATTCTTTTTGTTCTTTTACCTAGTTATTCATTTTTATGTCTACAAAGAAAGCTATTACTTCCATCCAATCCATTTAGAGCTCTCATTTATCTGATCAACTACTTTTATTTATGAGTCTGTGTGAGATATTTTTGCATGAAAGATGAAATTTGGGTGTATTCTCTTGACAGCAATCCTTATATACAACACACCTAGCTAAATCATACATTTGTTCTCCCCTGCATATCTCTGGGTTTTCCTTTTCTATGACACTATTTTGTGCTACTTGTTAATCGTAGCTTTTTCTTAGAAGTATTGCCACATCCAAGTCACTAGTCTAACTTTGTATCCTGGAACATGCTTCTTTACGTACATTGATCCAACCAGTATGAGAATGCTTTCTTACTGCTGCTTCTGGGCATGGATGTCATGGGCAGGGAACATCCTGGTCCTCTTTGTAATTTTTTTGAAGCTCCCATGAAATCTATTGCAAGGCATACACCGATTTATGTTTTATAAATTTTCAGGTCCATTTTTGTTCGAACAAACTTCTAAGTTAACTATGAATCATTTAAAATAACCCTCCTTTCTCTGTGCCTGAAATTGGCAAAACCATACAAGATTTATAATGTAGTTAATTTTTTTTCTAATGCTATCTTCTTAATTTGAAACTTTAATTAATATAAGGGCATATATCTTCATCTGCTGATGACAAGTAACACCAGTGATGTTATTGAAATTACTTCCTATCCCTAAATTCTTCGCTGCTGCATTTTTGCCTTAGTCTTCTTTGTCATAGAGTCGTAGACCCTTAAAATATGAAGAAGTTTACTTCAACTTTATGTTTTGAGAAAATACATCTGCTGCTTCATTCATTCCAAGTCATACTTGTTGATGGACTTGGTTAATGAGATGATATTTTCTGATCATTGAATCATAATCTTGTGCCTAAATCAAATTGAGGTTCACAGTACATGACTTCTTGGACTTAACTTTTTCTTCACTATATCCTCCTTTTTTTGTGTTGTGGTTATTTTCCGTTTCATAAAGCATTGTAGAGATGGTCATAACTTGTACGGTACAGCTAGCAATGATACACAAGGAACTCTGGAACACCTAGACTGGCATGTGATGAGCCATGTCGACCAGCACTGACCATTACAACAAATGGATCAGTCAATTTTTGGCTTGTGCTAGCTGACACGGACCATGGTGAAAGGCACAGCACGTTACTCTTTACAAGCTTAAATGGTGAACACCCTCATGCCTCAAAATGGCAATCCTTCATGGTCTGTCATGCATTTGCTTAAGTTGACTTTGCAACTAGTCGCATTCCACAATAGACTGCTATAAAGTTGTTTGGCCTTGTATTACTTGAAAGTTTCATCTTCTTTAACAATTGGTACTCAGATTCACTTGTCATAGTCAATTTTCAGCTATGCTCTTTGTTCATTGGCTTTGATATCAGATTATGTTAAATGAATTTTCTTGCAGTTTCTTGTGGTGAGTTCCCTGGTACTTCTGCAGCTGAGAATTTGAAGACACCTGGCACATCTGAATTATATGATATACAAGGATCTTTAGAAGAAGGTCCAACAATTATCTATGTTCCTACCAGAAAAGAAACTTTAAAAATAGCTGAGTACCTTTGTAAGTCTGGTGTCAGGGCTGCAGCATATCATGCAAAGGTACACGTTTAGTTCATCGATTCATCCACAAAAAATAGTTTCTTCTTTGGCATGCCTCATTTTTATCAACAAATTTATGTTTATGCCTTTTTAGTATGTGATCACAGGTGAAGCTAGCATTCTTGATGTTCATAATATTTGGATTGATCTACTGAGTTGGATTTGAAGAAATATTATGGGGTGGTCCTGATGTCTAGTACCTGAGTACACTAACTGCTAATGTCTAATACCTGAGTACTTTTCGAAGAGTCAATTATCCTTTGACCAAAACCAGTTAACTGGTGATTTTGTCAGTTTCTGTTGATTTTGTTTATTAAAATGGGATCTGATAAACATTTGCGGAAGTTCTGATTAAGTTATTCCTTCCTTAGCATCTCATTCAGCATTATTATGATAGTGTTTAAACTTTAAAATGATAATTTCCATCTAAAAAATTTAAATTATGAAAGGGAAGATTTAACCTCTCTGGAAGCACACAATACATAGAATTTCTATGATTAGTAATAAAGTATTTCTAGGATCCTAGTTAAACTTGCTAATTTACTATCGAAGAGTCCCATTTTAGAAAGCCATGAATTTAGAGTTGTAAACTGAACATCAACATTTGCTTGAATTTGTGTCATGAACATTGGACAATACCACAAAAGTTGATGCTATGCATTTCCCCTTGTGTTTCTTATTGTTTACCAAGTGGTTTTATTTGGTCCTTCTGATATCTATTTTTTTTTACTAACTTTGTAAAGAATGTAATTCTCATCAAGATATAATTTACTGGGTGCTAAAATTTTTAAACCTTTACTAGTAAAGTAAATTCCAATGCTAATACTACTTAAACCATGTCTCCTGTTTTAAATACATTGTGCAATATTCTGCAGCTTGCAAAAACCCACCTGAGGCATGTCCATGATGAGTTCCATCAAGGTTCTCTACAGGTAATTGGAAGATGATTTGTACTAAATATGAAATACCACCAAAGTGAGAAAACAACATTGTTTGTTTGCTGGATATAGCTTAAGATTAAATTGACTTTTAATGAATATGAATGCTATAGATATGCTCAATCCTATCATATTTCTCCCTTTTTCAACATTTTCTTGGGTTTAGGTTGTGGTGGCAACAATTGCTTTTGGAATGGGTATTGACAAGTCAAATGTTCGAAGAATCATTCATTATGGTTGGCCACAGGTACTTTACTTCATTATGGTTGGCAACGGGTACTTTATTTTAGGTCACTGTCTGACATCATGTGTTTATTATTCAGATACTAAAATTTTGCTAGCAACCAAGGATAGGTTATTGTGAATCCTAATTCTTCTTGCTAGGGACGTTAACGATTTATTACCTTTTTTGCAAATGAGTTTACATATGTCTGGCCCTTTAGGTTGTTGCTAGTGACTTTTGATTTAATATATTTTTTAATTTTAATATATTTATAAGAGTATAAGTCTATTATCTTTTATATGTTTATAATTTGTAACGCCATAATAAGCAATATCTAGCATTAGTGAAGGGTAGCATATGATTCTTTTCTTTCTGTTGCCTTCTATAATCCATGATGATTCTGATGAATCAAATCAAAGTGGCTGAACTAATGTTTCATCATGAAGGAATTACTTTTTGTTTAGATTATACACCATGATATTTCTTTAAAGTGTACGAGACCACATGTGGTCTTACTTGATACATAATTCATCCTGATTATTTCTTCAGTTCTTACTCTGTTCAATGGGAGTTGAGAAAGAGGCTGTTCCTTTTTAATAATAGTACTGAAAAACTAATTCTGCTTGGGATAGAGAGTTAACATCCTCTACGATCTTTGCAATTCTATGGCCTATGTATTCTGTTCGATTTCAGATTAAGTACCTAGCAATTGAAGAAGCATACAGATTAGTCACCTCATGGGTCCTTTTCACCAAAGGCTCAGATCGAGGCTTTTTTGTTTCCATCAAGGAATCTGATTTGTGCAACACAAGTATGTGATGTAGAGTTTTAGCTTAAAAGATTCGCTTATAAGAGCTAAAAGGTCCTAGCACTGTTATAAGATGGATTTCAAGAGTTAAAGTTTCTATGATATAAACAGTTTAATTACCTGACCGTGTAGTTTGCTTGAATTGACTAATTATTAGTAATTGTAGAGTTAATTGGTCTCAAGATTGAGCTTTTTCTCTAGGAATTAATTAATTTGTGGAAGGCAATAATGTGAAACAAAGTTTTAGCTTTTGTGTGTGTATACATGCAAATGTTGGTTTGCTCTAAACAGAGATCAATTGCATCCAAAAGAGAGCAGTTAACTTTTGTATATTTATTGTTTTCAAGTTTTCAGGTACTTCTTTACCACATTATATCTTGTTAAGTTGTAGTCATTGGACATGCCTGGCTATTATGACTTAAAATAGTTTATTAAATATTTTGATTGTCTATGTTGTTTGGTCACTAATGTTTTCATGTATCATCTGATCAGCTCTGCTACTTGGTCACTGATGGTTTATGTATCATCTGAGTTGATCACTCATGGTTTAAATATTATCTGATTACTGTTGTTTTTTGCAGAGTTTGGAAGCATATTATCAAGAAGCTGGTCGAGCTGGTAGGGATGGAAAGCTTGCAGATTGTAGTGAGTTCACATATTTCTACTAGAATTCTGTTCTGTCTGAAACTGCATATCACTTGTGTTAAAAAAAATTTCACATATATTGATCTAGATTGTCCTAGATAATGATGTTAATATCTGAAGCAAAATTATAGTTATGATAGGAACTCACAATTTGGTAACTTGGAGCATTTTGTAACCACAAAAAGGACCATAATAGTGGGGAAGCAGGATTTGTTGGGTATTTGATGGTAAAAGCCATCTCTCTATGGATGCTAATGGGGTTTGGTTTTGGAACCCTTTAATTCTGAATATTGTGCTGACTTAAGTTCTTACTTCTTATGTTTGTTTGTGAGAATACAAAGCTCGTTTTTATCTTCTTGCCAATATTATTTCCACTCTGTGGAATCAAGCAAGAGAAATGGAAACCTAATAGCTTAGACTACCTTAACTAGGTCAAGCAACCATGAAAGGTCCCTTCTTTCTCCCACTGCCTTGCTCCCATTGGTTTTCTTTCCTTTATCATGGAAATGTTATAATACAATTGAAGGTGGAAGAACTTTGTGTGATATTTCAATGTACCTTCTTTTCTCTCCCATTCTCACGGAATTATTGAGTCATTCAATTTTATGTTTATTGATTTGAAATATGCAACGTCTTTGAGGCTTCTATCCATAGCTGTAAGTGTTTCTTCTGCCTTGGAGATTACATGTTTCTCAAATTGTTTCTATGTTTGATTGGCTCAATGAACAGCGTTATATGCTAATTTATCAAGAATACCAACACTTCTTCCTAGTCAAAGAAGTGATGAACAGACAAAACAAGCATATAAAATGCTGTCTGATTGTTTCCGGTAATATTCTTTTCTCTAATATAATTTTTTTTGTATCGTACTCTTACTTGATATTATAATTTATAGAAATATAAAATTATGTCTATCAAATTCGCAGGTATGCTATGAACACAACAACTTGCCGAGCCAAAAAATTAGTGGGGTACTTTGGGGAAGAATTCTGTCATGACGGGTGTCATTTGTATGTTGCTTCTCTTGTTCATGTTGTTAGAGAATTATGTGCAAGCTTCTACTGTTGTCTATCTTATACTGAAGCAAGTCATAAGCAAGGGCTTATAAGATCATGTTGGTGATTTAAGCAATGAGCATTAAATAATATGTTATATAACATGCTTCCATGATTCGTTTGTATGCTGTTTGTATAAGTCATCATGGATGTCATTTGTATGTTTCTGCCTTTGTATATGTTAGAGAATTATGGGCAAGCTTCTGACATTATGTGTCTATTTTATACTGAAACAAGTCACTAAAGAGCAAGGGCTTATAAGATCATGTTGGTGATTTAAGCAATAAGCATCAAATAATATTTTTATATAACATCCTGCCACGATCATTTTGTAGTGAGATTATGTTTTTTGATACCTGATACATTTTTCACCATCTATAAGTTATCCAAAAATAGAACACCATCAAGCTTGTCCTATTTATGCAACTTGCTTGTTGAAACGGTGAAACCTATTTGGCCTTTTTTTAAATATATAAAAAGAACTATAGTTTTTTTTGTTAATATGATGCTTAAAATCATCATTACAATTGCCGGTGGTTCTAATGCAAATATCCGTTTACTTCTGTAGCTAATTTAAAGATATTACCAAGATATCCTGAAGAAGTATAAAAGAAGTTGCTATGAAGAACCATTCAAAATTGACAGTGCTCCGTGGAAGGTCTTAATGTTTTGGTTTATAGAGTTCATACCCAAAAAGAATTTGGTAATAAGACTTGCTTTTGAAAGAGACTAGTTAATTGGTAGAAAGATTGGTAGCAAGATCTATTTTTTTTCACTTTGTAGATAAGGAGCAAGATTCTAAAAATTGGTTGGTCCCTGTTGGTCTCCTGCCTAAGCCACAAATTGCAGTGTCTTTATCTGGATATGATGCTTTGTTGACTGGTTCATACTTCATAGCATGTTTGATTTGTTTATTACTTGCTCTATTATCCTCTACTGGATGCATTTACGTGTTTTTTTTTCCATTTATAATCTTTTTTGTTCTTTACTGATTTTCATTATATTGCAGTTTATTCTTTTATGATTGATTACATCTTGCTTGAATTTCTAACCTGATGATACTACTGAGACAGTCCTATCTTATCCCAACCCCATTGTTGATACCAAAATCAATTCTGATTTCTCCAACTTCATGGAGCATTCTAGCAAAAATTCAGAGTCTAGGATAATGGAGATTGTTATAGGAACAAATAAGCCGGAAAACATGGAAAAATATATCCTTTGCTTATGTTGTCCTTTATTAAAAAAAGAAAGGATTATATAGTTGAAAAGTATTAGAAGCAAGCAAGACTGACTTGTTAGATGTATCTAGTTTTCCATATAAATAGATACATGTCTAGTACATGTTGGTTGGGATCTAATTAGTAAGACTGTAATGAGTGTTCTAGCAAAGAAGATGATTTTATCCAATATAAAATACATGGTATATGTGTTGTAAAGTCAGAAAGAGAAAGAAAAAGAAAAAAATGAAGCAATTATTTGGTATGATGGACATGAAGGGAATCCCCAAACCTTTGACAATTGTTAACAAGGATTTAAAGCTTGTGATGGCACTGTTGTCATTAAAGGTTACACATTGATAAATTAAACTTTGACTAGTTACTGCAGGGTTTGATGGTATGCCATCAATTTAATATAAGTTTCAGGTTATTAACATAATTTTTACCATATGTTAACCTTCAGTTCTACAAAGGTTTATGGTCATGCTCGAAAATTACTATTTCAATTGCATTTTTTAATACAACTTAAGCTTTTATCTAGTATTCAGTATCTCAAACCTCTAGACGGTTCCAGGAATATTGAGGAGGTCTATCACTAAGAATTTGGCATGATTATAGTCGGGATTGGTCTTTTACACTCATTTTTCACCTCAAAGTGAAAGTTAATGTTGCATCTATGTGCAAGTATCACACCATTAAATCTGAAGGATGGTCAGTGTGTCTAGTCACCAGTCCATTAAACAGCCAGCTTCTTTTGACATCATCAATTTTAGTTGCCATTTGCATCATTGTTAATGACCCTTGCACACGTCTGGAAGTTTCAAAGTTCTTTTAGCCAGCATATATGATAGATTCCCACTTTGACTTTTTCATTCTGTAGTTTGTTTGCCTATCTGTTGTGATATATGAGCCTATGAGGTATTAAGTTTCCCTCTTTTAGTATGAAACCTAATCTTTGAAATCACTATTTAGTGTAGAGGAACTTCAGTCTGCAATTTCACATAAATGTCTCTTAAAATTAAATTGATTGCATATTGCTTTTTTTTTAGTGTAGGCAGTCTTCAGCAATGTTAACATCTTGATTGACTTCTTAAATAATGAAATCTTGGCAAAGACTTTAAATTGACCTCTAAAACTATATTCCTCCTTTAAAACTGTCAACCACAAAGACTAAACTATCAGTGGGGTACTTTTCTCTTAATTGTACTTGTAAAGTTGTAATAGTATGACATGGTTTTTCCCTTCTAGCTTTATGTATCTACAACAACAAAAGAAGTCTGAATTTCCCAACTAGCTTTATTTATGTAACAGATTACCCTCTGAAACGTGAAATATTTTTTCGAGAATTTTTTACTACCTCTTTTTGCTGTTTTTCCTGCTAAATATGCATATGAAGATGTGATATATGTGTTGCTGGACCTCCAAAGACTCAGAATATGAAGGCTGAGGCAGTTATTTTTCTGGGAGTGCTGAAAGCTGAAAGTGTAAGTGCTTCACTCATAGTACTTTTTCATTTTTATGATATTTGTCTAGGAATTTTGAGTGAATGTAGCCTTTCCATTGTCTCTTTCCTTGCACAATCATGTCATATTTAACATGTTAAATTGTGGTCTCTTCTTATACCGGTGGAAATGCTTTTGTTTTTGTTGTTGGAGCAATCATACACAAAATATGAAAAAAAAATTATCATATTCATTTGTTGGTTAAAGATTTAAAGTTTCCTAGATGCCATTTCTTGTCTATCTTTTGTAATTTAGTCTTTTCAATTCTGGAAAGAATGAGGATCAGTGGCATGGGTCGTTAGAAATCAGAACATATCGTACCTAAGGTGATTGAGACGTGCCATTCTGACCTGTGAAGTAGTGGCCGATATATGGCTAGGCTATGTTTTGGCCTGTGTTTGGCAGGCTATCATACTGTGCTTAATAGATAACCACAGGCCTTTGCACCAGGAAATGAGAATTCTCATTTAGATATCCATAAAGCTTCATCTCCCTCCTGTTGCAATTCTGAATTTAAACTGACTTGTCCTTTTGTTGAGCATGCAATTTTTGGTCCTTATGGAAATGTCCAAAGCATCTTAAATGATTTCTCTAATGATGTTATCTTCAATAAATGCTACCTCCAATTTACCATTCAAGTTCTGCGACACCACAATTATGATACATATGCCTTAGTTTGTTGATTAAATTGATTGTGAAGAAATTATACATTCACTTAAATATATAATTTTCTATAAGTCTAGATGACTGTCTAGGACCTTAGCTAAATCACAACCTGTTTGGAGTATCTAACTATGCATATCTTAGGTGCTGAGATGCTTAGTGACCCTAAATAAATATACATGTTTTTTTCATGCATATTCTTTTGAAAATGTCATATAATTTCCTACCACTTTAATTGCGTTTACTTTAGGGGCATACTAGTGATGGATATGTATATGATACTGGCAACAAGATGCTTAAAGGGAGGTCAAACCTCAGGGTGGTGATCAGCCGAATAAGGGAACAGGTTTGTGTTCTTGTCATGGTACCATGTTACATCAAGATTTATGGATCTATACCGAGGCATTCTTAATTTGAACTCGTATGGATGATTCAGGAAATGCTATCTACTGCTACGTTATGATGTCACCCAAAATTGACCCATTAAACCTGCATATGGTTGTAATTTTATTAAAAGCATTTTTATTGTTCTATTGCTGATCAAAGGAAGTAATGAACAAATCCAAGAGCATAAGTTTAAATTTTTAAATTGAAACATGGTAGCTCTCATATGGTAGGGATTAAGCTCTGCAGAGACCCAACAATCTTGAAAGATTGCACTTTGGGCATCGTTAGATTCTGGTTTATTCGGATGATGTGTAGAAGACAACATTTAGGATGCATGATGGCCATTATAAATCTGTTGTCATGTCTTTTGGCTTGACAATTGCTCCTTCCATTTCTCAGGGTCTCATGAATTATATTTTTAGGCCATCACTGAGGCCAAAGATATAATAAACCTTTGCCCAAAATTGGTTTCAGTAACTGATCAGATTAGTATGAAAAAAGAATAAAAAGGAATTGATTGACATCGTCTTATTTAGTCAAATACCAGTCCTTGGTCAGATCAATAAATTTGATTTCTTGGTTGAAGCATTATGTCAAAATTTTGATTTACAATCCCACATGGGCGGTAGCACTGGGAGCATTTGAAAAGTCAATTAGAAATTATGAGACAACATGAGCTCTATATAAAAGAGAGCAAATAAACTTCTGGGTCTATCTTTATGAGCAATTTGGAGCATATTATCTCCTTGAAGGTTGAAACAGATCATGAGTGACGTAAAACACCAAGAGGAAGATGGTGAGAGAAAATTTTGGGCAGGAAAAAATGAGAAATTTAAGATGATAGTGGAATGGCCGACACACACCAGAATTTTGTTCAAGGAAATGGCCAATTTTCAGGGCCCTTGTTTTCTTCATTGAAGAAAAACTGTTTTGTTTAGACTTACAAGGTAACAGATGGCATTTGAGGAAAGAAAGTGATAACACTGGCTCGTCTTAGTATTGCCACATTTCAATTACCAGTTTGACATTGAGATAGATGCCCTTTGACACCGGAATTGGAACTGGTGCATTATTGACCCTGGTTGGGCTTCCTGTTGCATGATTTAACTAAGCACACAGTGGTTGGTGATCAGAGTGCTCCATATTTGCTAAGTTGGTGATTGTGATAAAGATGGATCGCCACTCACCCAAGTACATATTGGATCAACATATTGGCATAACATCGGTGGACTCAAAGCTACTTTTCTATTCTTACTAGATTAAATATTGACATGGGATAAAAAATTCAGTTGCAGATGTGCTATGATGGATCTCCAGGGAGACTGAGCTACACTAGTATACATTTTCTGCCTTTTCCTTGCCTAATTTGGCAGCTGGGTATGATAAGAGTCAACTTTGCTAAGCTTCATGTGAAGTGCATACTGATCCATCTTCCTTGCCTTGACATACTAGTTGGTATCTAATTCATCTATTCTAGGGGTCTAATTATAGTTGTCAGGTTTCCCCACGTTGAGATCAGATTCTAGTTTACTTTATGGCACACTGGACATGGAACAACCCAAAGAGTTGCAAGTGATTTAGTTATAAATTCTACTGGCTCGAGTGATATAGGGCAAAAGTATTCATACCAAATCTGGTGTAACACGAGTTTGTGGGAGTTTTTTTCACGAGAACATAGGAAGGGTACAAGAGAGGAATGAGACGATAATGGTAGGAACATATAACAAAAAATTGACAACTACCATACCCACTCTGGTTCAAGAAAACACTCCTAGGGATAAAGGTTTCGTACAACATAATCCAGGAACATCCACAATGAGTCAAACTCCTTCCTACCCAGCCATCACAGCAGCAAGAAACATTCTTATGGGGATGAAATATTCTATGAAATTCAACGCTTATCACCTTCCTTTTCTTTTAGAGTCTTAGATCAAATTCAAAGCTTATGACATCCTTTTTTAAAATCATTGATTCAAACCTATAATTGTGTCTTTAGTTTCTTTTGGTATTCCTTTCTCTTCTTCTTGGACAATCTTGGTAACCAATATAAGATTGTTGTAGATGTTGTGACTTATTAAAGTTGCAAAAGACACCTAAATTAGTTAAAGTTGTTCAAGAGAAAAATAAAATTAAAATTATTCAAGAGAAAAGTAAATCATGGTCCCGCATCATCAAGATATGGATGTATGCCAGTGGGTCAAGTGTGAAGCTGCCAAATTGACTTCTATAACTGCTTCCTATTCGTAATAGAATTTGAAAGGACAATGTCATTGTAGGCCTTTTGACGTATCAAGTAAGTCCATAATCATGGTGCTACTTCATCACACCCCTACACTAACAATCAGGTCATCGAGCTATTTGTAGAGCATGTAACAGAAATCCTATTATAATAGTCAATCTGTATCCATCATGCATGCTTCGTAGAGTTAGGACAAGTGGGACATGTTGTAGAATTTATAAGAAAAAAATATTCATTGTATGTTTTGATGTTTGAGTGGAACAACTTAATGTGGAACCATTATCCCACATATACAAATACAGGTCTCATACTGGAGCGGTATTTTCAATGAGCACACATGGAAGTAATGCATTAGCAGAATTTTAGCATGTTGAGCTGCATTGTCATGATTCTTCTTAGTTGTCACTAAATATTATATTGATGTTATTAACGTCTTATATTTTGACGAGCTTTGCAGTCTCATAAATTTGCTACCGTCGACCGGCTATGGTGGCAAGGTCTTGCACGCATATTGGAGAACATGGGGTACATCAGAGAACGAGATGATATGGTGGGCAATTAAAGTTGTAGTGAAAATATCTGTTTCTTTTGATGCAAAATGAATCCTGGGGTATCTGACAACTTTTTCATCCGGGAATACTATGCCTATTTTGAATTGTTGCATGTGTTACTTGCAGTGTATTTACACACCATGATGTAATTTCTGTCTTTTCAGCGTCTAATGGGACAATTTCATAGATTTGTGCTATATGGTTTTGCTACTATATAGATTTGCATTGATAAGAGTTTTAGCATGAAGTAAAATATTTTAAGATGACGTTTATTATATTATCATCAGTCGATTGGGCTTAAAAGTTTAGCTTTTGTACAGATTCTTATCTATGCCCTGAGCTTCTCTGGTCTAAACTTATTTAGTTCTTTCTTTTTTGTTCTTTCAGGTCCATGTATCGATACGATTTCCTGAGCTAACAGAATTGGGCTTAAGATTTCTCCACTCTGAATCAGAAAAGGATTTTTTCGCGCATCCAGAAGCAGATATGCTACTCGCAACCAAAGAGGACCAGCCATATTCTACTTTCTCCGAGTGGGGCCGAGGTTGGGCTGACCCCGAGATTCGCCGTCAGCGTCTCCAAGGCAAAAGACATCGGAGGAGAAAAGGAAGAAAACGCTCTCAGAAGTACAACGCACATAATCCCAGCACAGTCAGAGGAAGGTTGGCTGCAAAGCTTTCAATACGAACAAAACATTGACTCCGTTGGAGAAGAATCGATGAGGTTTAGGAAACGCTTTATTTTCTGCACAACTATGCCCAAAGTTCCCCGAACGTAGAGGATGGTATATGCAAGGCTTCCAGCTCCGTATCATCCATGGCACAGTTGGTGGAGAGTGAGGTCTTGTTCTTCGCATGCCTTTTTTACTTTCGTTGCCAGAATTAAAGGCATCATTTTTCTTCTTTTTTCCTGTCAAATTTTTAGCCACTGTTGACTGTTCATTGAATTTTACCCCTTCATGTTCAGGAGAACCTTATTGTTGGTGCAGAGGGGGTTTTGATAGTTGTGCTGCGAGTATTTGATCTTTATATTTTCAAAAGTTATATTGGGATCTTTATGTTTACGATTCTTATATATAATTAAAAATCAAGAAATAAAAAGAAGTTTTATTGGTATAACGAAGTTAAATGTTTTAATAAAAATCTAAATATAATTTTTAAAAGTATAAAAATTAAAATATTAAAGATGATTAATTAAAAAATAATATATAATTAACTCATATAATGTTATTTTAAAATCAAAATATTAAAGATAATTTTTGAAAATCAAAATATTAAGTATAATTAATTAAGAAAGATAATATATAATTAACTCATATAATGTCGATCCCATTAACAAATGATCAGTTTGGGAGGAGGAATTGTCCACGGCCTAAACACATTTCTTCGAACACTTGGTGCGCTACCCGCTGCCATGGGTATATATATCAACATACATTCTTGAGAGAGAGGTTTACCCTTTTGCGGGATTCTGTTGAGGTGTTGGGTTGCCTCGGGGACATGTCCCTCCTCCCGCCCTTAAGGCCTCCGTCGTCGTCAGGGTGGGAGGAGCTGCCCCCTGCCGCCCACCGCATCCTGCACTCCCTTAGCACGTGCACCTCTCCCTCCCACCTCCCCCGCATCCTGGCCCAGATCCTCCTCCACCGTCTCCACCCCAACACCACCATCGCCTCCGCCTTCGTCAACGCCTGCCTCGCCCTCCGCCGCCTCTCCCCCGCCCTCTCCCTCTTCTCCCGCCTCCGCCGCCCCCACGTCTTCCTCTGCAACACCCTCCTCCGCGCCGCCCTCCTGGTCCCCTCCTCTTGCGCCGCTCCGCCGCCCCTCCTAATCCTCTCCCACATGCTCCGCTCCTCCGTCGCCCCCAACAACTACACCCTCCCCCTCGTCCTCAAGTCCCTTCCCGACCTCCCCGGGGGCCGCATGATCCACGCCTTCGCCCTCAGGTCTGGCCTCGCCTCCGACCACTACGTCCGCAACTCCCTCCTCCACCTCTACGGAGGCCGCGGCGACATGCCCTCCTGCGAGCGCCTGTTCGACGAAATGCCCGCCCGCGAGGTCGTCGCCTGGACCACCCTCATCGCCTGCTACACCAACTGCCGCCGCCCCGGCGACGCCCTGATCGCCTTCGAGCGCATGCAGTACGCCGGTGTCGCGCCCAACCGCGTCACCATGGTCAACGCCCTGGGTGCGTGCGCCGCCCACGGGACGCTCGACATGGGCGTCTGGATCCACGACTACGTGAGGAGCCGCGGCTGGGAGCTGGACGTCGTCCTGGGCACCTCGCTAATCGACATGTACGGCAAGTGCGGGAGGATCGACGCCGGCATCGGCGTCTTCTCCAGCATGGCCGAGAGGGACGTGTACACCTGGAATTCCCTCATCATGGGGCTCGCGCTGGCCAAGAGCGGCGAGGAGGCCTTGTCGTGGTTCTCCAGGATGGAAGGCGAGGGCGTCAATCCCAACGCCATCACCCTGCTCGGCGTCCTGTGCGCCTGCAGCCACGCGGGCCTAGTGGAAGCGGGCCGGCGGGTATTTGATTCCCTGTTGCGGGGAAGCTACGGGTTCCGCCCGGAGATCAGGCATTACGGGTGCATGGTGGATCTCCTGGGACGCGCCGGCTTCCTCGGCGCAGCCGTCGAGCTCATAGAGACAATGCCGTTCGCGCCCAATGCGGTCATCTGGGGATCGCTCATGCACGCCTCTCGAACTCGCGGGGAGTTGAGCTTCGGCGAGCTGGCGGCGAGGAAGCTGGTGGAGTTGGAGCCGACGAACGTGGCTTACCACGTGGTCCTGGCGAATCTGTACGCGGAGATGGGGAGGTGGAGGGAAGCGGAGGAGGTGCGGAGGCTGGTGAAGGAGGGCGGACTGAGGAAGGATGCGGGTTGGAGCTTCGCGGAACGTGTGGGGTAGAGTGGATCGCTCAAGGTGTTCGCCATAAGTCCTTGGGCGAAGGTGGCGGACGAAGTAGGGGGTGTGGCGATCGGAGAGAGCAGGGAGGACGGGGATGCCGCATAAGGGAACAAGGCGGAGGCCTCCGAAGGGGTGGGGGGTGAAAGCAGAGGGAAGCCAAAGGAGGGCATCAGCGACGTCGACGAGAGCCACGGCCCAAGGAGGGGGTGACGGGGGACGACAATGGAGGCCACAAGAGTAATCTTATCTACAAACAAAAATAGAAAGTTTGGCTTATTTACAGAATTTGCCCTTCTTGCTTTCTGTTTCTGATCGTGGAAATATATTTGAAGACCGCCTATGTATGCTTATTGTTAAACCTTACCATATAATTGGAATGTTTGTGACAGCATTTGACGTATCCCACTGTATAACACGCTGAGGATTCTTTGGGAATCATCCATGAAGAAGAGGAGGAGGCCGCCTGTCGTTGAAGGAATCTACAAAACAGCAGCAGCAGCAGCATTAGAAATAGGAACAGAATGCCTACGCTAAGAAGAGCTTATCACTACAGATATCTTTTCTCATCGTAAGATCATAAACTCTGAATTCCACCTTCGTAACTTACCCTTGAAGGAAAAAAGAAAAGAAAAAGGACGAAAGCAGCAACAACAAGCAAAGAATAAAATGGGTTGTGCAGCTCAAACACGCAGTTCTACGGCTGCGCTGCCGTCCAGAGGTCACAAACCAAATCGTCAAACAGGAGATAGGCGTGTAACGGTACAAGTCTAGAGATCCCATACATTTCCCACTGTCAACATAAGCGGTCTACGAGTAAGCCAGAGAGAGGCCGCTTGTCTCTTCGTTGCAACCGCTGCTGCACCGTCCTTCACCACGAGATCCTACAGCGGGTGGTAAGGCACGTAGCCCAGCGACGACTTGACGCTGCTCACGATGTCGCTACACCTAATCAGGAGGCTCAGCATTTGGTTGGCGAAGTCTCCGTTCGGGTTGCCTCTTTCCTCCACCTCGCCTCCGTGCTGCCTGTAGTTATGCGGCGGCGGGTCGCTGGATTGCGCGGCCGCCGGGCCGCGGGCTTCGTCCCTATTGAGACTGCCACGATGTGGCGGGGGCGGCGCGAGTGCCCGATCGGACACGCGAAGCGAGGGTGGTGGCGGAATTGAGACGGATGAAAAGGATGAAAGGGGAGGAGGTGATGGAAGGTAAGGGTTGTGTATCAGCCGAGAAGGGTATGATTGAGGCTGTGCGGATGATGGTGGTGGCGGTGGCGGAGGAGAAAGGAAAGTAACGGACTTGGGAGTCTTACTGATGACGGTCGCTACTGGAGGAAGAGAGGTTGAGGGTGCATCTGCATTGCTACGGCCATTGCCGGCAACCACCACGGGTGGCTCCGCCTTGCCGTCGACGTTGTCCAACATGAATTTTACGCGGGGAGACTCTCTGCTGCCCGTGGCGCCGCCGCCCGCGCCAGCCTCGTCGCTGGATTTCTTCAGAATAGATTTGAGCTGACCGGCAGGCGGAAGAGCGAAAGAAACGCTGCCGCTGCTTGCCCCGCTTCCAGGCCTGACGAATTGGGGGCCTTCGGACCTCTGCCCGGCGGCGTCGGAGGCTGGCTCTGGCACCAGCGGCGCGTCGGCGTCGCGGAGGTAGTAGTGGACCTTCACCTGGCCGAACATCTCGTTGCTCCTGGCGTGGTTGAGCGCGGCCTCGGCGTCGGGCTTGAACTTGTACACCACCTTGCAAGTGTTGGATTTCCAGTAGACGCGGAATCCGGAGAGTTCAAGCGGCCCGAACCGGGCGAACTTGGCCTTCAGGGAAGCCACCGATGGCAGGGTCGTCCGTGGTGGGAACTTCATCACGAGGGTGGTGGGCGAGGGTGCCCGCGGCGGCGGCGGCAAGGGTTCTTGCTTCTTGATCGGCTCTGCCGCCTTGTTGTTAGGTTTCGCCGGCCCCACGGACACTGATGCCGCTGCGCTCAGCTGCTGCTGCTGTTGCTGCAACTGCGCATCGGGTACCTTTGGGATGATGGTTACCTTCTTCTCACCTGCCAAAGCCTTGAGCTTCTCCATCTTCTTCTGCTTCTTTGCGCTCATCTCTTCTTGTCGATCAGATGGGGTTCGTTTGCGTCCAGCCACGGTGGGATCATCAGGCCTGAAACTGGCTCTCGGCGGTTTCGTGATGGAGGGCGGCGCTCTCTCATCCTTGGCGGCCTTCGACGGAGCAACCTCAGCAAGTGCTGCAATGGGCTCATGCGGCGGCCGAGCAGCCAATGATTTGCCGGCTTGGACGTCCGGCGCTTCAGCCTCGCTGGCCGGCGGAAGGGCCAAGCTCTTCTGATAGACCAGAGACCGGAACCTGAGGAAGACATGGAGCGCGACCCACGGGGCGTCGCGGTCCATTCCATAGAAAGGATCCAGCGCTAGCTCTTGCAAGTCACTCACCAGCTCGGGCAGCTGCAGAGAACGGGAACTCAAGTCGATCTGGGGAAGAAGAATAGCAGAAGCATAGGGCTCCATGGCGCGAGCAACCCCATCTCCCCTTCTCAGCGACTCCCCTTCGACGCTAACGGGCTTCCCTGCTGATCTCCCATGAGGATCCTCGACCTTGGTGGACACAGGCAGTCCAATCCCACCGCTCCGTTCCTTTTTCTTCTTCTTCTTCTTTGTCACGTCGGCAGCAGTGCCGTCAGGTCCCACGGAGCTACCACCATCCTCACGCGGGCGCTTCTTTACCTTCTTCATGATTCCACCAGTAACCTTGGCATCCTTGGACTTCCATCCTTCTGCAGGTCGAGCCAACAGTCCCGCCCTATACCCGTCCTTAACCTCGGCAAGTACATGAGCAGCGGCGACAGCGGGGTCTACCTTTCCGAATTCGATCTCACCCAGCTGCGATGCTGCTTGTCGAGGACTAACAACAATGGGAACGTCCACGGCCACCGGCAAGGTTTTCTGCTCCGGTACCGGTCTATCCCCGCCGGTATCTTGAGAGACTTGCGGCGGAAGCTTGTCATCGGCGGAAGCAACGACAGTAGGGGTTCTCTTCTGAAGCACGTAGTCACCGAGGTTGGAGCCGCCCGCCGCCGAAGCCGGAGCGTACGAGGCGTCCTGGAAGACGAGGGTGGGCTGGACGTGAGGGGCATAATGGGCGGAGATCGGCTGTTGCGGGGGCAAGAGGTTGTAATAGCTGCGGAAGGGGTGGGCGGGGGAGGGGAAATCGGGAAGGGAAGGCTTGGGAGGGCCGACGCGGGTGCTCGGCGTCTCCTGTTCGTCCCTCCGTTTCAGGACGTACTTGTTCTTCTTCGCAGATGATGGGAGCTTGGCCGCTTTGGGCGCAAGCTGCTTATTAGCATTGGAGGAGATCTTTTTGTGGCGCAGCGGCTCGGCAACCACCAGTGGACCGCTCAGAGGAGTCGCTGGGAAACAAAAACATTAAAAAAATAATAATAATTAGATCAATTTTGACTATTAAAAAATAATTATTAATTAATATAAATAAAAAATGTAGAGAGTTTAACCGATATAAACAAGAATGGAGATTTTTACTGCTAGAGAAAAAGGACGGTAAAGTTTGATGCAGACCCACGTGGGGCCACCTCGATAGATATTCCCCCTCTCGGCGGGGGGTGGGAGGACGGGACCATCAGAGGGCGTCATCCCAGCCCAATGCCCATTATTACACTTTGACCTGATTTATAGCGTGTGGTGGGCGGTACACGGAAGGTGTCCACGGAAAGCTGGCGGTGTGTTACAAGTGCTGGGGATAAGATGTCACATGCCGTCGAGCGTGGCAATATGACAACGGTACCAAGAATATATAATGGCTGATGGGGTGTCCGGATAAGGGATTTTTTCTGGCCGAAGGGTAGCTGAAGTCAACACAAAGAAACGATCCCCTCGTATCAGACTGGTACTTTTAACAAACAGCAGGCGGGCAAGGCATAGGAGACCAGTCGCGCCTACCCTCTCGGTGCACCCTTCAGAAGTCATACAGGTAGAATGCAAGACGAGCCCTCCAAAAGACACCCCATCTTAGCGTGTTACTAATCTCTTCCTCAAACACATTTTGGTAATGAACTTTCAAGTTGCTCTCTCTGCCTTCAATCAAAATTTATTTTTACCATCCTAAATCGTGCCAACGTCCTAACAATAAATCAGATGTCCACTACAAATTCTAACTTCTGGGCATGACATAAAAAAACACCAAAAATTCTTCTGTTCAATGTCCTCGTTTTGTATAAGGATATCAAAGTCAAATCATTTCTTTGGATATTTAATACAATTGCCCAGTGGTGATCACCAGCAGTACTAATTACAATTCCACAAAACCCTGGGATCGGAACATGGGGATTGCCACAATGAGTATCCTCGAATCAACCTTTCCAACACTTAAACTTCACAATCAAGTGGCTTCACTTGCTACATCCAAACACTCGAGACATAAAGCTACATATCCATGCTCAAGCCAGCCATATCCAGTAAAAGAATACTTCGCAAGATCTATAACTTCCCAAAGCCAGGACTCCATGTGAAATCGGAATAAGAGGGACAACAATAGTGCATGCAGTTAAAATGGCAACTCTGCAGTTCTTTTTTTAAGTATAATGATGTGACAGCATAAACACAACATCCAGATTTGCAAGAAAAAATGGACATATTTCCGAGGGACTAAAACAATGATGTGGTTGACAATAGATATAATATATTTCAACTCAATGGTCAATGGACAATCCAAAAGGAATTTTCAAAAGGTTCATACATGAAAAACCAGAGTTGTAAGGCTACACAACCAAGCATAACCTTTTCTGACAGGAGTCTTTGTCGCTTCATCCTCTATTACCCCAGTCCTCTCCATCAGTTCATTCTTTCGCACTTCTTGTGTCGTAAAGAATGGACACGACCCTCTCATCAGAAAACCAATTTGAAAAGAGAAATTCTTTCGCACTTCTTATTTGATAACAAAGCCTTACATCAGAAAACCAATTTAAAAGCAAACGGGTGCTCAAAAATACGAGAAAACCTAGTTTTTTTTAATCACAAGCTGGTATATGGAACAAGTGCAAAATATGCATAAATCATAACTCGATAAAAGATGTAGAACAAAGAAACTCCCAACCATGAAAGAGTGATGAAGTGGGAGATCTATCTGTGCCTTGCCAATTTAAAAGACTTGTGCTGGTGGGGTGACCACCACACGGACTTAAACATTTGACATGATCACCTTGAAATGCCTATACCACAATTATATCTGAATCCAAAAAAGTAGTTGGGACTTCAGCATCAGTAAATCCTAAGGACGTTATTAATTTAAGAAAGATTATCAAAATGGAGAATGAGCAAGGATTTCCAGAATAGAGAACCAAATGACTTGATGTGATTTTGATTACCAACTCAAACATCGATGCTATCAGCAATCAGTTCGCACAATTACTTTGAAATCAATTTTGGTGCTCAAACATCATTTCATTCTAATGTTTCACACTGCAATGATTGCCAGACATTGAAGCGAGAGCCTACTAAATAACAAAATGTGGTTTCAAACTGGAACTCTATATATTTGTTGTTATCAACAATCAGTTTAAATCAAATGAGTGATTCTAAATCTTTTTCTATTGTTCAAACCTTGTCTGCATACTAAGGTTAGAAAATCAAATTATTTAGTTTATCCTAACATATAGAAAGCCAAATCACAATGAGAGCATGATAATGAAAGAAAATTAAGGCCATGTCAAGAATTCCCGGCACATCTATTGTATTCCAAAACAAACTGTTAGTGATGAAACACATGCTAAACAACCACACACTTGACCTGATTCTTCGGTCAATGATGAAGATTACCAGTATCATGCAGTTATCCAATTTGAAATATAGATAATATCTCAGTGACAACATAAAAACACAGAAACATAAAGGCATGCAATAGTTAATACCTCGGGGAGCAAATCTTTCAGGCTGATCTGACAACGACCCAGTATGTGAAGATGGCCGTACTGGCTCTACCCCAAATGCTTGTGCATAGGTCTCATCAAACTCCTCAAACACTGCTCTCCGGTATGCAAACATCATCGCAATGTTTTTAATCTGATCTATACTAGCTTGGTCACCTGCCAGAGGATCCAAGGCTGTCTGAAGCACAAAGGCGAGCGCCTTCTCAGGTGAAAACTTGTCCCTCGTGCTGTTGATTTGCTTTGATGAGTAAACACCCCCTGGCTCAAACCCTGGAACATCCACATAGAAGTATCCTGGGACACGGGCAGGCCTGATGTTGACTGTGTTCCGGCAGTAGCAAGTCACAGCAAGAGCCTCTCTCCGGCTAGTTTCGTCAGCTGCCTCTTCGACAGCCTTGACAAAAGGCCGCAAGGTGGTCTGCTTGGACTTCTCGGCATAGTGAGGATCAAAAGGGATGAGCTCCGCAGGATCAAACCAACCGTAGCTGCTATCCCCAAAGAAGGCGACCAAAACATGGCCCTCTCCCTTTGTCCGTCGAACTGACGGCGACGCAAACGCTTCGCTGAAGATGTGGCCAGGCCACCATGGGTGTGATTTTACCTTCCCCCACACCATGTCACCCAGTTCGAACCCATTCATCCAGTTCCCCACTGCCCCGTGCGGAATCCTAACCCCATCTGAAACCTCAGCCTCATCCGAAAGCCCGTCCTCGTCGAAATCCCTCCCTTCCTCCTGATCAGCGACCAGTATCTCAGCTCCGGCATCAGCGGCAGCAGAAACGCCTTCCCCGACATCAGATTCGAGAACCCTAGCTTCAGTCATCGCGGCCTCGGCATCTACCGGGGCATCCTTTCGAGGTCCAGACAGATCCGCTACGCCTAGCTCCAAAACCGTACCGCCGACCTCGCTTTTTAGCTCCACGGGATCGAGCTCCATCGAAACCCTAGATTCATCAGAACCATGGCCGCCCACGTCAGCAGCCGCCTTGTCGCCAGCCATTGTCCCTTCTTGCGGGCTTCCCATCCCAAAGGAGGGATCAGCGGAGCTACGGCCGATGTCGCGCTCGTTCATGACAGAGATCATGGCCAGATCGGAGCAGAGAAAACCGAAGCCCTGCAAAATGAGCGACAGGAAGCGGCACAGACGAACCCTAGGCGTCCAAGATCGAAGAGCACGCCATATAGCGAGGTAGAAAACTGCAGGAATCGATCGCCAGGAAGAGGGCGAGAAGCAACCCTAGAACAAGAGGGGGAGAGAGAGTCGGAATGCGAGTCGGATGAGGCGCCTCCCGTGAAGTCAGGGGTTGTGTACGGGAAATGTAATGGAAACCTCCATCAGACGGCTACAAGAAAGCCCTGCGAGGCCATCCAACGGTCGTGGATTCTCCAGGTGGGGCGTATGGAGGCTCTTCACCGGCATTCCCGGGTATGGACACCGTTAACACGTGAGAGTCCTCACTCCACCTGACCAAAAATTTATGAGGATTTAATATAACGGTGATTTTTCGAAAAAAAAAGGTAATTCTTTTTTTATTTTTTTTCACAATATATATTTTTTATTTTTCGAAAAAAACAATTCTTCTTTTTCTCTTTATAATATTTTTTTAGTATTACTAAAAAAATTATAACTCAGTATAAAGACACCATAATATTTTTTTTAAGAATTATAAGTATATGTATAATATTTTTCTTTAAAATATATATGTAATATTTATAAATGTTGTTTCAGTCTATTTTCTTCTATTATAATGTTTTATAATAGAGTTATAGTGTTTTTGAAAATGTGTCAAAAACACTATAACTCATATAGAAGTCAAATTATTTAAATGTTTATTTTCTTAAACTAAAAATATTTTTTTAAATAAAATATTTTTATTTAAAAAATATTCATATAATTTAAAGTTTTTTCAGTATTTTTGACATATTTTCAGAAACATTATAAAGAAGAGACAATGGATTGTAAAAATATTAAAAAACAATTATAGACATTGCTTATTTATTCTTATTAAAAAAATTAGAAAAACATATATGATTCATAAGGAAAATCATTTATAGTTTTTTTTTTACTATGTTACAATGTTTTCTGAAAATATTATAATGTAATAGAAAATACTGTAATCGGGGATAAAAAAAAGTGGATAGGTGATTAAATGTCAAATCAATGATATATTTGAAATTAGAGAAAAAAAGGGGACAGTAATAGGAAAAAAAAAAGAGGGTATCTTTTGAGCAAACATAAAAAGAGAGATTTTTTCTAATAAATTATCTTTAATATATTTTTTTTAAAAAAAATTTGGTGATATAAAAATAAAATAAAATAAATAATATAAGTGCTATATTGATCTATTTAGAATAACAAGTGCTAACATGACATTGTTCCCTTTTAATTACATACATGAATATTTTTTATCTTTTTTTATTTATGTGTGAAAATATTTAGTTCATCTTTTTTTCATCTCATACATGAATATTCTTAACTTTTTTTTTATTCATATAAGGATAAATCTTCTCTTTACTTTTCATTATTCAAATTTTATCCATATCTTTCTATCTCTTTATCTTACATGTGAATCTTTCTAATATTTTTTTCTATTTATGTTTTAGAAAGACTTAATTCATCTTTCTTCATCTTATACATATGAATATTTTTAATATTAAAATTAAAATTTATAGTTAACTTAATTCTTAGTATATATAAACTTTGATCAAAATAATATAGCAAGTAATTATTCTTTAAAAGATTTACTAATAAATAAGTCTCTAAGAGAAAAAGAGATCTCCTAAGTGGTATCCACAAATTTAAATTTAATATTAATACTTGAAATTTTTATCAACTAAATTAGCAACACATATTGTTACTTTAGACTTTTATTGCCTGATGTTGAAGCTTGTCTTAATTCTAGTGTCAAAGATTCAATAGGTGGCCCTATCAATTACAGTGGAATCTGACCTAACCAAATCCATCCAAATTTTAAATGAGTAGAATCAAAGACTAAAAAACAGGAGAATGGATTAAAACTAATAGTCTAAAGAACTATATAGAGAGATATTTTTATACTGAGGTAATCTGAAACATTAGCGTGTCAATTGTCCCAATTAACGTTTTGGATTAGTAAACATTATTATAGATTGCGGGACCCACCGGGAGAGGTGGCGACCGGCCGCAGGATCTCGAACCGACGGCCGAGATCACTGGTCGCCTCCGACCTTTTTACTCCCTTCCGTCAACTAAGAACCTTAGAAAAGGAAGGAGGGCGTGTTAATGTTTATGCGACATCGTTTTCCGTTTTTGTCCTCTCTCTCTCTCTCTCTCTCTCGCTCGCTCTCATCGTCCCCTTTCTTTTCCTCCCTTTTCGTCGCCTTCCGGCTCTCTGCTCTCCTTTTTCCTCTCCTCCGCCTCCTCTGGTCTCCTCTGCTTGGATCGATACGATGCCGTGGGATATACGGTATGATCTATAGCCCCTTTCATTGGGTCCGAGGTATCGTATTTGGGAATCTTGAAGTCTTTTGCTTGATCGGAGGTCGGCTTTCTCAGATCCGGTTCGTTGGTCGGTTCTTTTGGTTGATCAGATGGGATTCTTTCTATTTCTTGGATGTCGATCGATATCGTAGTGCGTCTTGGATGAGGTGATTGGATTTGGAGGTCGGGACGATTTGGAAGCGGCTGTTCCGGTTGGGATTGTTAGAGAAGTGTTTTTGGGGGTGGGATTTGAGTGGAGACTTGTCTTTAATCTTTCAGCGGGATTTTGGGAGATTTGATGCTATTTTGGGCGTTTCTTTGCCTCCTGGCTTGGGATGTGTGATCGCCGGGGGGGGTCCTCTGCGCGTGTTGTGGAGGATCCCGTTGCAGGAAGCAACGTACAATTAGGGCTGTGATCTGTTTTCTCGTGCTATATTTTCTTGCTTTGGTATTAGTTGGTGGTTGTTTTGACCTAAGACCGGGGATTACCCCCTGGTTAGGAGGAGAATAGGTTAAAGGTTGTCTTTCTACATTGGACGAGTTCGTTTGAGGCATTCGGGCAATATGTTCTCTTCGGGCACCGAATTTTTGCAAGAGGTAGCTGGTGTTTCCGGGTCTGCGCTGGTGCCCACACGATTCGTATGGCCTTACGGCGGGAGGAGGGTCTTTCTAACTGGCTCTTTTACAAGGTCGGTTTTGAGTTATTTCCTTTTTGCATCTGTTAATCACCTTTATGCTGTTATTTTATTTTTAGTAGTTAATCACCTTTTTTATTTACAAGGTATAAATCATTGTCTGTTTATGATTTTAGATTACAAGTCTAGATTACGTTGTTGTGATAGAAATAAAATCTAGATTATGTTGTATTGAAGCAAATTGAAAGTTTATCGAAACAAGGAGTCTGGTATGTTATCTATGCTCAGAATCAGCTATCAGATTACTGTTTTCATATAATTGGTCTTTATTTTGTTTTGTCATTGATTAATTAAGTAAAAAAAAGATGAACATACATATGCCACTCAAACGTGTCATTGCTTAGACAAATGATATGTTGATTAAATTACCATTCCATCAATTCAATAGAACTATTTGACCCCACATCCAAAATAACTCACAAACAGCCATCGTTTCGAATTTGCAAGTGATCCTTAATATTTCTGTGACCAATTTGTTCATATATCAGTGATGCTTTAGGGGGTAAAAAAATAAAAAGCAACGTATGTCCTGAGGGTGGTTGATATATGGTTGGTGTGGGAAATTGATATCAGGTGAAATGCAGACTCAGCTCATGATACTCCTGTTTCTCCATCTAAGCATGTCATATGATATAGTTATTTGGTGTTTGTGGTTCATTTAGTTTACTGCATGCCTATAACTTTAGCTTACAAGTTCGTAACTGCATGCATCAGGTGGTCCGAACACTTACCTATGTCTCCTGTGGAGGGTTGTCCTACAGTGTTTCAGGCTATTTGCAGTCTAACACCAGGGTTACATCAGGTACATTCTGGGTCTATTCCTGTTCTCATTGAATGCTGTATTCCTGTTCTCATTGAATGCTGCTTTTAAAATTTGCTTTTACAATGGACTCCACTTTTTGCATGACATGCCTTAGTCTGATCTCTTTTAGCCATCAGTCCTAGGTTCTTTTTGGATGTTTATCTGGTAATCAATTTGCTCATAGTTTTTTTTTTTACTCGTGTATCATCTGGAACAAGTGGGGCAGTCAGGAGCCACACATTTAATCATGGGCTTTTATATGCATGAACTCTTAGCAGACCCTTTCTACTTTATATGAAATGATCCGTGACATAAGTTATTGTTTTGATATTTACAATTTGCCATGTTACATGCAGTACAAGTTTTTTGTTGATGGTGAGTGGAGGCACGACGAATGCCAACCTTTTGTCACAGGAAACGATGGGATAGTTAACACTATCTACTTGACTAGGGAGCCTAATCCTGTGCCTGCACTATCAAGCCCTGGAACTCCTAATAGCAGAATGAGCATGGATATAGACCATGAAGCTTTTCAGCATGTGGTAAGTGTTGTTAACAAGTTTTATTGCATACAATATTATACATGAAGACTAATAAAAAAAGCAGCATCATAGAATTTCACTGGAAGTTTTTGTTAGACATGATGTAGCAGCTGTATGAAATTAAAACTTGCTTTTTTACTTAAATTTATGATGAACCGAGGACAAAGAACAAATAGTTTCATATGGTTGTGCTACAAGTTTTGTTAGGTAAGTTATACCAGTTGTATTAAGATAAACAATCAATCTCCTTATGATGAACTAACTAGTTAATATCAATTATATAATGGCATTGTCATACTCACTGTTATATCTTAAGGTTTAAAAGAACGTGTGATGTCCTTATGTTGGTCTTAGGCCAGCATTGGTGGTACCATGCTAAGCTGGTTTGCTTGACGAGCATGTGCTTGGTCACATGCCGAGGTACATTAGTGAAGTCAACAGGATCTTGTTTGGTGTCTTATGTCATACTATGTTGTGCATCTTTGACTGTCTTGTGCTTAGCATGCATGACATAGGGAGATGCACTTTTAAACCATGCTTGCAACTGACATCATCAAAGTGAAGGAAACTGTGGACGATCCGTGTCTCTTCTTACTGTACTCGTGTTTCTTTGTTTTTTAATGTAATGCCAGATAGCTTTTACCATGCAATCTGATGTTTTACATGCTTTCCTTTTTACCTTAAAAATGAAACAATCTTGTGCAGATAATCACACTAAGAGCATGTGTAACCACACAAACAACAGGACTTGATGTCCTAACCTATTGAGTGTGCACACAATGCCTTAACCACTATGTCTTTTTCTCAGATACAAAAGTTTACTGTCCCCTTATGTTTACACATCCATACATACCTGATGTTGACAACAAGACTTGAACCTTCGACCACTTAAGACTTAACTAGGCATACAATTAGGTTCTGAACCAGTCTTTAAAATGATCTTAAAACCTAGTTCGACATTGACTATTACCCAATTCCTCTTTCACATTATAGTTCAGAGTATTAAGTCAAAGTTAAATGTTCTGAAAGTATCAAAGTATATCAAGGATGATAATCTTGTTGGATTACAAAAATGTTGCACAATTTCTGTGAACATTTTCATAACCAAAGTAACTTCTTAAACATTTATTTTTAGCAAATAAAAGATTTGTTATTTGTCTCGAAAATCTCTATGCTACTGAACTGTAATTTCACCTCAATGATTGATTGACTATGTGCTGTTTTCATGTAACTCTGTTTGGTCATTAGGTGCTTGGTCATTTTCTTTTGTTTAAGGTCTCTTTTTGGCAGTAGCAATGTCATCTTCTTATCTTCAATTTTTTGTGTTGTAGATTTTGTCAAAAATCATGATAGTTTTCTGTACAGGTAAGATGTAACAATAAAATCGTCCTATAAGTGGGCAAAACAGTTGGTGGTTGCAACATACCTCCATGGTTCCCAGCACCATGCTGAATTTCCTAGTCGCAGAATTATGACTCGGTTGTGGCCAAGTGCATCTTTGATGTACAGCCTTTGAGCACACTTGGAAACATTCCCTATTTACTGATGGGATCTTGCAAATTTTAACTAACGCAAAGGGGGAAAGAACAAGATTGTTTTTGGTAAATTAAGTTCAATTCATTAACTCTGTAGTATTAGCAAGCATGTGAACATCTTTTCTAGAGCAGGATGACAAATTATATGAACTCACCTATATCTTCCAAATTTGTTGAGGATCAGTTCTAGTTTTTTGGCTTTGGGTATCTTTTATGTTCAAGTTTGCAACTAATTTAGAGACCAAAACTGCTCCTATATTGATTTAAGGGAAAAACATATGATGATTGCTCAAGCTAACAGGATAACTTTATCTACACCTATCTGCTATGACTTCTGTGTTATCTGATGTTTATATGAACTGTCTTTTTCTCAAGTTTATAGTAATTATTTTGTAATGAACTCTTGCCGACACATTTTCTTGTCTTTGTAATGTCTGATAATAATTATACATTGTTAGCCTTGTATTTATCAAAATTAGTCTGGGTGATCTTCTCCAAACCTTACGTTGGTGGGAGTTTCATGCATTGAGCTACCTTTTTTTTGTCAAAAGGAATCTAGATAGCAATGTAACACATTTTATGCTTAATTTTCCACTCTTCAACGTCAACTATGTTTTTCTGACTTAATTATGAAAGGCACATCAATTAGGAAGATCTTTTTCTAATCAAGAAATACCGAGTGCAATATGCCAACATTCTTCTAGAATATGTATATTTTTCATACAAGCTGACTGCTGCATCTAATTGTCATCAATTAATTGTTTTGGTCTTTTAATAGCCCAAAGTTATTTGTTGCACCAAAGCAGGTGGCAGTGTCAGATGGTACCATGCAGGACACTGCTCTTAGGATATCAGAGGCTGATATAAAGATATCTCGTCATCATATTTCTACATTCTTGTCTGCACATACAGCTTATGATTTGCTTCCTAACTCGGGAAAGGTACAAACGCTTAATCTTTTATAAAAGCGTGGACATTGTTATGCATAATATATAATTCTGGTGAAGTTTCCATTCATTTGTGTGTTAAATTTCAGGTCATTGCTCTTGATGTTAATTTGCCTGTGAAGCAGGCTTTTCATATCCTTTATGAACAGGTACTTCCTTTAATGTTGAGCTGTCATTTCTATTTTTGAAATTCAACAAACAATCTGAGGACTCAATTTCACATATTATCTTTTGATCATTTTGGATATGCAATTAATCAGGCAGGACTAACTCAGTTCAGTGTTGTCAAAAGTGCTAAGTGCTAAAATGTGCCAAGGTTTCAAAATGTTCCAAGGCTTGGCACTTTCCCTAGCGAAGCGAGACTAGGCTCACACGAGCAAGTCGCTCACATCATTTCATATTCATATTCATAAAATATAGTTAAGGATAAAAATAATTATTAAAAATAAAAATTAGATAACATACGAGTTTCACGTCATTTCATATTCGTAATATTACTGTTAAAACATTGAAATTGCATATGTTTAACCACTAAAATAAAGCTGCTACCCATAGTTACCATGATTTAAGATCCTAAGACTACCATGACAATCCAAAGGACAAACAGTAACAGTCCAATAATTCAACACTCAAGAGCGAGGCTATACTAGTGGAGTCTGACCAAGTTCAAAGATGATGATGGAGAATGGAGAATGCACTTTTGTGGTGGTGCCCCTCGATTGGCTGTCCAGTTGAGTTCAAATGTATCTGAATCCAACATTGTCTCATTGAATGCTCGGTATTTCCTCCGTGTATTTCTTCCGTGTATTGGTTGATACCAACCCTATATTGAGCATACCAGATGGTACAAGACCTATACCGCCTCGTATAGATGCAGTACCGGGTGTACCACCCGGTTGACATCGGTCCATGTACTGGTAACCTATTGAACCAATAAATGCTATCTATACCAGGACATACCATACCATGTGTAGTGTGCCTTTTCACATATCATTATCTTTCCAAATTATGGTAGTCTGGGAAAAAAAAAATATATGCTTAACTGTGTATCTTTGATTCTACAGAACCTTTGTGATTTCCATTGCAGTTCTTTTACCACTGAATAACAGAAACATTATCCTGTTAATTCTTTCAATTACTTCTGTATTAGTCTTTTTTTTCTTTTTCTCAAGAATTATTTTTTCCTGAAGTTTCTGAAATAAAGTGATTTTCAGGGAATTCCTGTGGCTCCACTGTGGGACTCTATTAGGGGTCGATTTGTCGGAGTCCTCAGTGCATTGGATTTCATTTTAATTCTGCAGGAGGTGTGTAAATGATGTATCATTCACCTACTCATAGCATATTCCATTCATTATTTGAATATAGTTTGAATGATCATTATGATTAAAGTTAGCTATGGATCTTTAATTGTATAGTACATTCTAAACATGATCTGATTTTGTATGAATAATATTATGTATCTAATAATTAAATACCTGGCTAGAGTATTATTGTTTCCATAAGCTATTGTTAATAAAAAAAGATTAAGGGTAATCCTTTTAATAAAAAAATATTCTTTAAATGTGAATCCTAACAGCTAAACTAACTTATGGAGTATGAAAGAATAAAATAAGCAACCACTGTGAAAAGGTATTCTTTGTCATTTCCAATTTTAGATAGTCTGTGGTGGGCCATAGGGGCCTTACCTCTTGAACTCTTCACTTCCTCATCCTCTTCCTAAGCCTTCAAGCTTATAGGAGACTATTGATGGCAATGGGAAATATTCTGCCTGCTCTAAGAACACTTGTAGGTGATAAGTGCAGAATGCTGTCAAAATCATGGTTAATTATTGTTCTGATGATGTAGATTGAGAGAATAACAGTGTTGATAATGGTGGTTGGCTGGTTGGGCCAAGATCTTTTTTTTTCCTGTGAAAATGCTTGTCTGCAGATGGTTATTGACTGATCCATTTGTTCATTTTTTATTTTTTTTTAAATGGCACTTTCGTCTGACATTTAAAGAATATGCAATTTTGCGTTTATATCCACTAAATTGTACTGTATTTTCTTTAACTAGTCGAAAGCTTACAAATATATGCTCTTCAAGCGAATGGTATTTAGTTTTTCTTTTCCCTTTTGTCTTGTCTCTCTTGGCATATGTATGTTTTATCATAGACAATAAACCTTTGGTCATCTGCAGCTCGGGAATCGTGGCTCGAATCTAACAGAGGAAGAACTCGAGATACACACAATATCTGCTTGGAAAGAGGGAAAGCATCAAACGTATGGTCAGTTAGATGAGCATGGGAGACCACTTCGAAGGCGCATAGTGCATGTAAGCTCCTATTTAGCACTGCCCCTCATGATCGAGACTTCAGTTTCTTATCTGCATGTTGACAATTTTATTAAGTCCCTACTGGCTTGGTCTTGTTTCTCCAGCAAAATAATGCGCTGTTTTTGAAATATTTATAACTCTTTTTCCTTGTAAGTTTAATATCTTTCTGTTACCCTTAATGTTGTATTTTATATATTGAAATACCAGATCAGTTTCACCCTGAATGTTATTCCTTATCTAGGCTGGTCCTTATGATTCCTTGAAGGATGTTGCTCTAAAGATTCTGCATAATAAAGTATCTACTGTTCCAATTATCCGTTCATCAGCTCAAGATGGTTCATTTCCGCAATTGTTGCATCTTGCTTCTCTTTCAGAAATTTTAAGATGTAAGTCATTCTTCTTTGTGGTGTTTGGCTATGCACAATCATAATTTCCCTTTGACAGTCTTACTATGGATTTTTGTATAATCTTTTGTTTTGGTTATCAATCTCATGCCTAACAGTTCCACTTTCTGTGCTTTCAGGTATTTGCAGACACTTCAAACACTCTTCAAGTTCTTTACCTATTTTACTACAACCAATTTGCAAATTTCCTTTGGGTACTTGGCTACCAAGAATTGGGGATCAAAGTGGCCGTCCGATAACCATGTTAAGAGCAAATGCATCACTCAGCTTAGCCCTTTCTTTGTTGGTTCAAGGTGGACTCTTGCCATGGTGCTACTTTGTAAAAGTTGTGAAATCTGCTCTTTTTGCTCAAGCTCTGTCTAATATATGGTTTTTAAGTGATGTCTCATACTATTCTTATGTGTTTGGTTGTTTAAAAGTAGAAATTTTGGTTGCTGTGGTTTCTTATATTTTTCTTAAATGTTGAATGTTTAATCATTCTTGGAAACTAGCTTATACCGAGCAGTTGATTACATGGGTGTTTGGCTAGAAATCTAGCTTATAGTCATACAAGTTTATATGTAGGTTTGTGCATGCGTATTGACACATGAAAGGGAAAAAAGAGAGTTTGACTGTCACATGTCAGCACCATGCTTCATGTTACCCCTTATATGTAGTGTGATAGATGGACAGTTCAAAAGATTAATAATTCTATTGATATATGATGCGAGGATGCATGACTTCTAGCATCAAGTCGAATCTATCCATAGGGCGAATAACATAAGTGAAATTTATGATGCCAAGTTGGTCGACGTCATGGTCAAATTATATATGTTTTATGTGGTTATACATGGACTATGAATCACTACTGTGAAGCTCTACTTTAGGAGGAAAGATTATGAGAAAACCTCTTAGTTTGTGGTTGACTTTTGTGATACTTAAGGCAACAGCAGGGACCATGTAGAGTCATAGACTAGAGTGGCAAACACATATAGTTTGCGCATGCTAGGTTAGTTGGTTAATAAGGTGACACCGGGAGAGAGTTTATCTTTCACAGAATGGACACGACTTAAGAGATCAACCCTTCAAATTTTATTTCTACAAGGCCTGTGCTGAGAAGGGCAAAATAGCTACAATGACAGTTGTGTGACATGCAGATTTACTGAGTTTTTTTTGCTGGAGGTTAGGAACTAACTGAGCATTATTTGCTTTGGATGCCAAAGTAGTCGATGTTTATTTAGAGGTCTTTGTCCGCTCCTGTGTTATAATTTCTAGCTGCTTAGGGTAACTAAAAAATCATGCTAGTTTGGTCTTCCTCTAGTGCTTTACATGCTAATAAGCTGGGAGCACATTCAAGTTGTCCACAGTGCTAGGGCTAGATCAATTGAGCTGATAAAAATTGATCTTGATGATTGGGTCACATATATTTTGTTTGATTTTTATAATGTGGTTTCATCTTCTTGAATATTTAACAGACACAAAGGCATACAATTATGATATATGCTTGGTGTTAGTGCTTCTCAATATGTGAAGATATTATATTTTATCATCTAGGTTATTAACGTTCTTTTTCTCTTCCTTCTATTCAACCTTCAATTAAAATTGTGTCTCGGTAGACATCAATTTGTTTTATACTTCGTATACACATCATGTGCATACCGAAATCTTATGAGTTTAAAATCGGTTTCCTACAGCTGAAGTTAGTGCAATACCAATAGTTGATGAAAATGACTCTTTGGTGGATACATATTCCAGAAGGTATGCTGGATTGCCAGTTTTGTATTTTCAGAATTAATGCTTTATTTTGGGTGGACTTTATGTAGTTTGTCATACTTCTATCTACAGTGACATAACAGCATTAGCTAAAGACACAGTTTATGCAAAGATGCATCTTGATGAAATGAGTATTCATCAGGTAAGTTGTCTAGAACTCCATTCTTTTTTATTAAAAGAATTACACACAAAGATTATGTTTTTTTTCCTAATTTCAAAGAGAGAGAGAGAGAGAGAGTTTGCAAACATGCTAAATCTGATAACCATGCAGATGGCAATGCACACTCGTGCTTGTTGGTTGCATTTGGCTACATACAGTTCTAGTTAATTGATTTGAATAACAGTGTAATTTAAGCGAGGCTTCTCCTTAAGACAACTGGAGAACATTGTTAGTAGGTTGGTACACTCATGGGTATAACAAGTTTGAAGAAATTGTTTTCATCATCTTTGGTTCTTTTGTTTGAACAATGAGATATGGGTGAAAATCATTTTTTCATCCATATCTCATATCGGTCAGCTAATTGCACTGTGGAAATCATTTTTTTGAGAGAGAAGACTTGGATTGGATTTCTTCAGTTGATCTGTTGGTTCCAGCCTTTTCCCCAAGGATTCACAGGTGGGTCGAAAGCGCTGGGGTTTCAGACTGGGGAAGATGAGCCCCATAAAAATATTGAAGCAGAAAAAAGACACTAGAGAACTTTGGTTGAACAAGTCCACGCTAGTTTGGTTTAAATTGCATGTTTTTCTTGCTTTTGTTTTTAATACTGCAAGTCTCTGGACAGTTTGTTTGTTTTCTATTTTGTACATATTGAGCTGATTGAATGAATGCTACTGGTTCTTCTTTTATGCCAAAATCAGGCACTGCAACTAGGGCAAGATGCAAATTCTCCATATGGGATTTTTAATGGTCAGAGATGCCAGATGTGTCTCCCTTCTGATCCTTTACAGAAAGTCATCGAGAGACTGGCAAATCCTGGTAAATTTTCTTCATTAGTAATGCTAGTTCTAATTTGTTTCCCAGCCTCACCATCTACGATGACAGGGGTGCGGCGTGTCATCATTGTTGAGGCTGGGAGCAAGCGTGTGGAAGGAATAATTTCACTTGGTGATGTATTCAGGTTCCTGCTTGGTTAGCCGTGGAACCGTCTTAACTGCTTTATGAGCATTTCAGGCTGCTGTGGAAACGTTGGTTTTTGACCGAAGATTACTGTCAGCCTATCATTTTCTTTTTTTCCTCCTGTGATTGATTAATTTGATGGGGCCTCCTGTGGTTAGAAGGCTGCGAGGGGTCTGTAAATGTTTAGGATATCAAGTTTTATTCACCTTTTTTTTTTCTTTCTTTCTTTCTTTCCTTCACAAAGCCCCTTGGCCTCCATTGACTTCATTGATGTCATTGGATTGAATTTCTGCACAGGAATGCCACTTACAAGTGGCCACGAAGTGGAATCGAATGATGCCTGTTAAATCTCATCGTTTCAGTCGCCATCTTATGAATCAATTATTGGATTGTTTCGTTGTTTCGGGAATTTTATGGCTTCTACCGTTTGCTCTCTTGCTTTAATCTTCGACACTTTTTGTACGATGTGATGTGTGAAAAAAGAATTGAAGTTCGTCAACTCTTTCTTTGATTTTAGCAGCAATGTTTGATGGTCTGTTTCTGTTGTTGGGTGAATAAAAAGCCGTAACTGGCTCCTCGTCGTCGATGTGATGGTCTGTTGCAATAGAATCATAAAGAAACTGGCTCCTCGTCGCGAGCATTTACTTTGCATCAAATCCACTGGCCTCAAAGATTACCTGAAGTGGCTCATTCAAGGTACATTAGGGTTTCCGTTTCTTACCCAACAAGCATTGATTCCAGGAACGAGGGGATCCAATGGAGCCTGTCGGGCCTGCAGCAAAACGAATCAAGAAAGGGAAACGTAGCGGCGGACAAGCGCTACAAACAGAGAAGATGGAGTCGGCAGAAGGGAGGAGCGACCTTGAGGCGATTGAGGGGAGGAGGAAGAGCAAGTTGGCGCAAAAACCGGCTCCATTGACGACGATCTTATTCTTCGACCGCAGTCTTGGGAACCCCAAATCGCCATCGCCCGCGCTCCCCCTCCCCCCACCCCCGCCTCTTCTCTCTTTCTCGTGCTCGTTCGAAGCCGCGCTTTTGGGAATTCGAAGTAGGCGTGCGTCATCATTCTTTAGAATCTTCTGGAATTAATAAATCAATTTACTTTTTCTAATATTTTTTAAAGGTTTATTTCTTCTTGATTGATTTTTGATACACGTCATCAAACTACTAGATTGGATGTGTGTATATATACACATAAATACTAAAAAAAAAAAAGTATATCATATTTTTATATTTCTTGAATTCTAATGTTTTTTTTGATAAATTTCTCAAAATAATCACTTTTTTATACCTTTTTTCAATTAGCATCTCCTTATTTATTTATTTTATGTCCATCCTTATTTTCTAAAAGATTAAATTACTTTGATCTTCAACCTGTCGATCATCATCTTCTCCTTTGCCTCTATGATAGCAAATGTCTTACTATATTCGTGCTCGATGAAGAGATTGTTAGATGATGACGAGGCTCTTTCCTTTTTATTACTTTTATGCTCCAGAATGAGATTACACCGGTGACTATAAGAAGACAACCAATAATAACGAGGTAATACTATCAATGAGGAGGTTGCTTCAACTTTTAATTACTATTGAACGCCAATTAGAGCTTTTGCTCGATGGGATTCGAGCATTTAAAGGTGCGCTATCCAACCTCTAGCGAGGACGATCGAACCTCTTTTGTAACTTCTTTGATACTTAAGAAAAGCTCGCAAGTATTAAATTAAACTATAAGATCGTAATCGATTAGATCAATCGTATCACGATGGGGCTCTCGCGTTGGGACGACGATAGTAATAAGTAATGATGACGATGACAAAGAAGAGAAAGAGAGATGATGATTTTATTTTTTAAGAAAATAGGATGTGTTGAAATAAATGAACAAGAAAACATTAATAAAAACTGTAAATAATAATATTTTTTAATTAATTTTTTTTTTCTATGGATATATGAATGGAATTAAAGATATTCGATTTATGCCTTCGTTACTTATCTTAAAAAAATAAATGAAAAATATTAAAGGGAAATAAAGGGAAAGATATTCGATTGCGAACACTATAAGGGTAGATAAGTAAAAGCGGAATGATGGAAACAGAAAACATGTCTTATCCATATATGTTGGTGGCTACCGACACGTTGATGCAATCAAATGGCCGTGGGAGTCTCGACGGCGCCAATCCCCACCATAATTCTCCGCCATCGTCTCTGCGTTCCTCTCTCTCCTTCCGCCTCGTCTCCGGCGAGCCTCCCCTTTCTCCGCCCTCAAAGTAGGCAACGCTCTCCGGTCTCGATGTCGCGCGCTGGCGATTCCTCCTCTTCCTCCTCCTCCGCCTCTTGTCCACCTACCGGTCAGTGCATCCGAATATTCCCCCTCGCCTTCATAATTCCTTCTTTTTCTCCCGTTCGATTCGATGCGTATCTCAGAATGCTATCTTTGGAAGGAATGCTGCGTTGTTTGTCGGACGGCTGGGCTCCAGTCGTCGCTGTGATTGCTATAATTATCAGAAAGGACCAATTTTTTAGATTGTTCTTACAGTAGATCATTAAATGGGATATAAGATATAGGGATTGGATCAAACCCGAGGTGAGATGGGGGCAAGCTAAAAAGGTTTTCCTTGTTTGGCATACTGTGTCAACCTAAAAATGTTATATAACTATCACTTCATATCCGAGTGGAGCCAAAAACACTCGTATATTTGTTGTTTAAGATTACCCTCATGTCTCCTTTATCCAAATTTATGTAGACTGCTTCTTGACATAATTATCCACCCCATTGTTGAAACAGGAATATTAGTCTTAATTTCTGATTATTCGAACTATTGTTTTTTGAATTGTATATTAATAATTTATGACATGTTATCCATTGATGTTAAATAAGGAGCTTAGTTTTGCATATTTAACCTAATAGAATGTTTCATATATGATTGATGTTATTTGGCTAAATATATTTGTCTTTCTGATGGCAGGAATACTAAATGATGGTGGACTAAAAATAACATCTCCTGGTGTAATTGGACAAAATGATTTATTAATTGTGGGACCCGGTGTTCTTGGTCGCATCGTGGCTGAGAAGTGGCATAAGGTTGGCTGAATTACTTGAAGAGATTACTTAAAACTCTTATCATTTGTTGATGTCATTCCAAGATCGATATTCCCAGCATATGTACCGAAACAGTTTTGTTTGTGCCACTGTGGTCTGCTTGACATAGTCTTGGATTAAAGATACTGCTGAATAAGACTACTTTTTTCCCCTCAGAATGACAAAATGACATTTATCTGTCCAAAATAATTTTGTTCACTCAGAGATCCCCAAGGGGGGTTCAACCTAAGAATTTGAATCTATATATGAGAGCAGCAGTGAAGATATACTATGATGCTTTCAACAAGTAATTTATGAATTAGCTTAGTGTTGGTTGTGTGCTTGTAAAGTCCTTCAACAGTTGATCCCAAGCCCAGAGTGTTATATTGTCAATTAGGTAACTCAGAGCCATTATTAATCTTTGTAGGAACATATATGAGCATTGATCTTTACCAAGTAATCGTAGCTCTGTTCGGAGCTTGAAATGATAGGAGAGAGTACATGTGCTCATCACCATAAACTCATAACTAAGATTTGTTTTCATGTTGTTTTATCCTAATGGATGGATAGGAATCACAGACTTGTCTTAGAATTAAACTTGACTTGAGATAAATAACATTTTCTACACTCAAACTGAGAGAGAAGGTTATTGTGCTTTCTCAATGGGAAGATCAGTATGCCAGTCTGCCGATAGTATACTTTCTTTTAGGATATTTAAGCAATCTGGATGTCCACTTTTGAAATTCAATTGTTACTTACATATGTCATCTCTAACTTCCTATATATTTGGATATCTATATTGTTCTTTTCCTTTTTGCAGATGCAACGTCTTCATTGGTATAAAATATCAAAATGTTTCTCATAATGCTCTATTGTTGCAAATTTTCAGAACCTTCAAGTGCTATGACAATCTGGTTTGGAATGTTATTATATTATTCATTTCATCATTGATTAGGAACATCCAGCTTGTCAGATTTTTGGATACACGATGACCACAGATCATCATGATGAATTGATCAAGCTTGGGATCATTCCTTCTTTGAAGAAATCAGAGCCTACTAACAAATTTCCTTATGTTATATTCTGCGCGCCTCCAACTCGGACCCCAGATTACCCTGGTGATGTCAGGTAAAGATCATACTCTGGTTTTATGATCTGAAACCTTTTTCACAAATAAAGCATGCATAAGTTTGTTTTATTTACGAAGTATTTTTTCTTTGCAGTCAGAAGCATGTCTTGGTATATAATATCTCCCTAGAAATTTCAGTAAACGTTCTTTATATTTTCTAATGAAGGTGATGCAAGGTTATGCTTGCTTTTCTGATATTGAACATTGAAATTTATCTAGGAATTAATGTCGCACATTTCTCGTTCATTTAAGGTTCTGAAAAACATGTTAAGGCATTCTAATCACCCACTGGTTTTCTTAGCATTATTCTAGAAGTTTATCAATTTGCATGAACTTAAGATTTGATACCATGGAGGAAATGGACACTCTTGGTTTGAATCCTTGTTTCCTTTAGCTCAAGTTATGTTGACCATGTAGCACAGCAGCATGTCACAATGCATTTGATACTGAAAGCAAACTGTGGATAATACGACAAAATTATTATAATGCTACTTGTACATGCCCATAATATCACTAGAAACTCATCTATGACATATACAAAGGTCATGAGGTCTCCAGCTGATCAAACACCCAAGTGCACGACAGACAGGTTATGGCAGTCTCTAGAACTAGTCATGGTGATAGTGATTGTAGAGAATTTGTGTCCTGTATGAAGATCCGTACTGATATGAATTATCTTAACCATCAACCTAGTGAGAAAGCATCTCATACATAATGTTCTCAGATGTTGTCTGTGTTCAAGCATTCAATTCTGGACAAGCATGACCGGCACATATCCTACACCTACCTAGATTTGTACATCGGTTTTATTTGAAGTCACAAACTTGATTGAAACTGCATTTTGGGAGTGACACTGCTACAATTTTAAAGAGCAGAGATGATCCTTAAAATTTTGAATTATCCTGCAATGAGTTTTCACATAAGGAATTTTGCTGCAATTGGGACTTATGGTGTTTCACAGGATGACACTTTACATCCTAGTTTGACATGGGATGCTTCCTTTTTCACTGCTGAATTGCTATTACTTGGATGGGCCCATGTTCTTACTTACCTTAGGGGATGCTCTAAATTCTTTGGTTTATGTTAATTTTCTCTTTTTTGACCATTATGTTTTTTGTGCATATTTTTTAAGTGAGAATTAAGTTGTGGGGTTATGAAGAACATTTCCTTTGTTCTACTTATCAGAGAAAATTCCGGACATGGATAACATGTATGACTTCTGACCACATGCAGATTAGCAGCATCAAACTGGAGTGGTGAAGGTTCTTTCCTGTTTACATCAAGTTCTGCCGTATATGATTGCAGCGATAACGGTTTTTGTAATGAGGTATCGGATCACAAGCTTAAGATATTTCTCTGTAGCAACATATTTGTTTTCTACTTCCTGAACTCCAAAAAATTGTCTTCTCTTTACTGTATTTCATCTGAACTCCAAATTTCCTTGAACATACTAGGCAGTAAATATAAGTTTGCTATTAGAATGTTTCTGTTAGATCATTGGTAAGAATTACTTCATTATTTCCTGATATAAGCAAATAACAGAAGTTCATATCAATGTAATCGAATAATATATATCATGCTCCACATATAGCCCGAACGAACATTATGCAACTTATAATATGCTTTTGCCTTATCGTGTAGGACTCTCCTGTGGTGCCTGTTGGTAGAAGTCCGCGGACTGATGTCCTTCTAAAAGCAGAAAAGGAAGCTCTCGACATTGGGGGGTGTGTTGTAAGGCTAGCAGGGCTATATATATCCTTCATGCAATTCTGCAGATTTTCTTTTAATTTATGTTTGTATTAGTCAGGAAACTAGGATTTTGTGCAGGATGAATCTGACTCCACTTTTATCAGTTTTTGTGGCTATCTATCATTGGATATTCTACCATAATGTTATCATCTTAACTATTTATACAAAGAAGATAGAGGTGCTCATGTGTATTGGTTGGATAAAGGAACGGTTGATGCTCTTCCGGATCATGTACTAAACCTTATCCATTATGAGGTTATAACCTTTACCCTTTTTAAATTTGTTCTATGGTTCCACTTTGTGATTGTTGTTCACTCGATTTTGGTCCATCTCCAATGTAGGGTCAGTTATTTATGATTTTGAATAATATTATGAAATTTATTCATATCATCGACGAGGAAAGTATTTTACAGAAAGCTTGTCCTTTTCTTTGACTGCACTTCATCAATACAGATATCTAAGTTGCTTGATTACGTGTGGAACCTATTTTGCATGCATCCACTGTATTCTACCTTGATGAGGTAGTATAGCATCTCAATTTGCAAGTGACTGTACAAGAGAATTGTTACTTAGTGAGACAAGGTGTGAAAATTTTATTTGAACTGTTAATTCAAAAGCATCTATTAAGGTCTGATTTATTCATTAGTTTTTTTGGCATTGGCTAATATGATCCCATGTAAGGTTAGCCCTGAATTTTTTTTTAGCAAGCAGAAGGATTTCTTTGTTCCCTTGTTTTTTGACTTTTTAGCAAAGTGTAGATCTCCACATCTAATGCTGTGGATGGTGATCTTATTTAGGAGCATAACTTGGCCAACTGATGACTGTTTCTTAATATTAATGACTCAAGACGAACATTATACTATGCAGGATGCTGCTTCCCTTTCAATCGCAATCATGAAAAAGAAGCTTCGAGGTCGAGTCTTCCTCGGCTGTGACAATCATCCTTTATCGAGGTCGCCTTACGAGGAGTTTCTTGTTCATCTGTTTAAATTAAATTATCTGGACGCAACTACATCTGTTGCTCGATCGATGATTTTTTTCTAGCTTATCCAGAGTGTCTATGGTGCAGGCAGGAAATTATGGATCATGTGAACCGAAGTGGAAAGTTCAGCAAGAAGTTCTTGGGATTTACAGGCAAGTTTCTAGATTCCTGGATCATTGCCTTCTGAAACATAAAACACCCTTTGTTCATGTGAAAACCTTGTAATTAGTTTGTTTTTCCAGGAACCGATGGTCCATTGGGGAAGAGGATGAATAACTCAAAAACTCGTGCCGAGATTGGATGGGAACCAAAATTCACAAGCTTTCCCCAATTTCTGAATTTGCTATGATCTTCACCCCTTTTTCTTGCCATTTTTCAGTTTTTTTTTTATTCTTTCAGATGATTTCGATCTGTTGTGTAAAAAGAAAGCAATTTAATTTCCCCTTCTCTTAAATGGGTAGATGAGTGTTCTTCCTGTTGTCAATACCCAGTAAGAAGCCTGTTACTGATGGTCATACTTGTGGATTTCTGTGTGCACATTGATCAATAAGTTGCTCTCCTGTCTTAGGACTTGATTCTGTGTTTCACTGTTGGTGTTACTTCCTGTGTGAAGGATACTTTGGTGGTGGAAGGTGTAACACCTCCAATTTAGTAAGAGAACTTATGTTGATCCATAAGAATTATGTAATTGTCCTACTATTAATTTGAACTTGGCATTTTTCATGAGTGTTATTCCATCAGATTGATATAATGAAATGCTTAAATAGAAAAGAGATTGTACATTAAAATTACCACTGGATTGTCTCACATGTATCTTACTAAAATTAAACTCTAGACTTTGTCTGAGTCTTGACAAAAGCATCAAACACTTTTAGATATGCAGAATTATAATACCCCTGTCAAGCTTAAGTGAGAGATTGTAACACTTCAATTAATCTATAAAAATTAGATGAATATACTATTATTATAATGATTGCAACTCCCAAGACATTGTTTAGCTGATAGTGTGCTCTGTCAAAAGATTGAAAATAAACTGAGCATATGTCAGCCTCGACCATTCTGATCGGCATGTGATTGCAAATGATAAGCCATTGATCACCAAAGGGATAATAATATAAACAGATCTTGAATAGAAAACTACAACTTTTAAGACTTAATAATGTAGCTACTTTTGAGAACTTTCTATTAAACCTTCTAAGAGCTGCTCAATTCTGTACTTCATAACAGGCTGACCAGATTTGGTCTTCTTGAACATCTTTTCCCTCTGGATCTTCCTTTTGGCTTCAGCTTTTGCCCTCTCTTTCTTCTTTGCTTGGATGATTGCCTCCCTTTCAAGCCTAGCCTTTTCGTCTTCTGTATGCTTCTTCTCATATTCTTCTCTCAAGCTCCGCAAACTCCTCTTCTTTGGTTTTCTTTGCATATGCAACTTTTCTATTTCATCTGCATCCTGCAAAGGCAATAGGATTCAGCATGAGAAAAATGTAATACCAACCACCATGCTGACAAACAAAACACAAACCACATTGGTCATGTCCCGAAAACAGTCCACGGATCATACATCCGCAATGACCAACAGCTGATACCATAAAGTTCTGGAACAGCGAAGCTGTGCTTTCATTGTGGATATACCATCAGTCGATAAATAAGGATGCACCAAATTCATTACACTGCTAATCAGGGAAGCACTTTGAAGATTGTCATTTTACTGTTTTCTCGGATCAAAATGCAACTGCAAGTGGATCACTCAGCACTTGTGGATAATTTGTAAAACAGAATTTCCTTTTATAAAACAATGAAAATTTTGGAATAAGAAGAAAAAAGAGACCACACAAAAATAACACCATGAACATATATAGAAAAATAGAAATACTGTGACCTTTGCTACTAGGATCCTTTCATGGAGCCAACGTATAACTGCATTGACATGACATGACTAGCATATAACTTTATGTTGAATTTTTTTGGTGTAGTGAGAGGAACACTAGTATGTGCACCTACAACTATTTCCAGTACCCAAGTTCATGGAATACAAACCAGTAGCTCATCATGTTTCATTAATCTAGAAGTACATTTCATCTAACGTCAATAAAATAACTCTAGAGAAGTACAAAAGATAACATACCTTATCATCTGAAGTCGTTGGCATATGATCACTCGTCAGGTTTTGTTGTTTTTGTGTCTTCTTATACTTCGTCACGTATTTCGCGTTCCTATAGAACTCTCTTTGCTTTTCTATAACCACAGAACAAATAGATACGATGTCAGCCATGGTAAAAGGCATAAAGACAACTGGTCCTAAAAACAATCAATAAAATGTAGTTCTACATGCAAGGGGAAAAAGTGCTGCAGAAGTATAAGTCTGTAAACATAATTGTGCTGAAAATGATGTGTATTACTCTTAACAGAACAGAGGACCGGCAAAAATTACTTCGATACACTCCCAGTGAAGACAGAAAATGGTGGCAAGAAGTTTCCTGAAAGCCTCTTAACGAGATGCTTGTTTAACATCTCGTTAAACTAACAACCTGACATTTTGATGTGGTAGATAATAATCAACAATAGATACTAGGACTGGTTTGAGTGGCTAATCTTTCTGTCTCAGTGCCCTATCTTTACACATTACTCAAATAAGGTATTCTTGTTTAACATGCCCCGACAACAGGTACTTTCATTTGATAATTCTTTACCTGTAGGATCTAAGGATTTGGAAATTAATAGTAATCCAATTGATGCATGCCTGGCACAGGGGCATACCAATTGGTAAGGCATGGAATGGTACCATGACAAAAAGTCATCACCCCCCATGTGTCAGCAGGGCAATTCGTTCCTTATCAGAAGATAGAGTCACTCTAATATACGCATTCCTTATATATAATGTTGCAGCTCAAAGGTAACAAAACAGCAGAAATTAAGTAAAACCACAACTTTTTCCAATCAATTGCACTGGTTCCTACTAAGCAGAACTAGTTTTTGCTGAGGAAAGGCTGATACGAAATGGAAGCACACACGATCAAGATCAAGTAAATATCGCAAGTAATATCTGATGACAAACCCTAATCTACCAGAACGATAAGCGTAGAAAATCCACATATTTTTTGCTGCCTAATAAAATTTCCAACCCAATGAGCTAAAAAGGTCGAGTTTGCTTCTCATCGATGGAGCTCCATATCATCCGCATCGCTTACAAACGGTCGACCACCAAACCTTAAGAAGCCCAAGAAAATGGGAGGTAGGGGAAGACGCGCTCTTACTTATAAGGGCGGGATTGTATCCGGAGGGCCTGGATTTGGCGTTGGCGAAGGCTTCAAGAGAGAGCCCCTTCCCTCCTAACCGCTGCTCGTTCCTCTTCTGCCGCCTCCAGCGACCCTTCCCATAGCTTTCGCTCGTCCCTTCATCCCTACCACCGCCGCCATCGTCCCGTCGCTTCATCTTCCCTACCGCTCTCACAATCTCCGGCCTCCACTAAAAGCGGTATTTGTCCGGTCTTCATCGGGCCGAACCGAACCCCAATTCGAATACGAAAACGAATTCGAACCGTGACCCGACAGGCGGATCGGGTTGGGAATAGGGTTAAACCCGACTCTGACCCGACTCCGACTTCTAACAATCGTTTAACTCGAGCCGTTCGATTCCGACGCCGATGATTTTGGGATAATAACTCATCTTACGTTAGAATCGGTCAAAATTTTAGATGTATTTGTGGTTTCTTTAAAAATAGAAAAAAAAATATTATTATTTTATTAATCTTCGTAAACAATAATAATGGTGACGACTCAAATCGTTTTGAGAATATTGAGATGGATGATAACACGAAGACCATCATCGAAATCACAGGTAATTGATCCTCTATTCATTTTCAATATTCATTTTTGCTGCATAATGTGCTTGTAAGCGTCGTTGATTTGTTCGCCAAACCTCTCATAAAGGGTTGATCGCATCATGCCCTAAAGTCGTCTTACAATGCCTAAATATTTCTTTTCTCTTACATCATTTAGGTCCACATAATGTCACAGTAGATTCAAATCGAATTGTCCAAATTATATACAATTATTTATATACACAAATTATATATATATATAATAAAATGATTATTTCTATGATGACGAATTAGATCATACAGAGCACTTAATAGTAAACAAAGTTTAATTAAGGTTTCACGCTCCTTCAATTAATTCTCACATGATACGCGTGAGGAAGAAGTTGTCTTACCCAGTTGCGTTAACCCAAGGGTTTACCGAGCTCATTTGAGAGAGAGAAGAGGAGATAGCGGACGCCCATCATCATCGAACACTCTGCTGTTCTCTTCCTCATCGGTGTTCCAACCTGCAGGAAAACCGGGCCAATCGCATCCATGTCGCGCCATCATCTGCTGCAGGATTGCCGTTAACTCCAAGGCTGAGTTCCTGACAAGGTCCAATTCACAGTCAAAGAGAGAGAGAGAAAGAGAAAGAGAAACCCGCTCCCATTAAACTAGAGGAGCTCCTCGGATGCTCATCCTGTGGCCACTTCTCGGGCGTCACCTTCTCCTCCCCCTCGTGCCATTGCTGATTTCTAGGTTCTTGGGAATGGTGGAGAAGCCTGGGAAACACCTTTTTACGAGGCCTTGAGGAAGGACCTGTCTTGTCTTCCCCACAGAGTATTGATCTTCTCTCTCTCTCTCTTCCCTCCTTGTTTTGTGGCATGGAATCTTCAATGCCCGCTTTGGACGCCCATTTTTGCAGGATATCTAGCTTCTTCTTCAGCTGAGAACCAAAGCTTCTGCTAGTGGATCGATCGAGCTGGTCTCTTGTCAGTCGGATGAAGGACAGAGTGGTGGTGTGAGAGGAACTGGTGGTGGAGATGGTGCAGCAGCTAAACAGCCTCGGTTTGGATCTCTCGAGCGGGACAGCGACCGAATCGGAGTTGCCGGCTACTCCCTCGGTGGTTTACATGGACGTCAACGTCGTCCCCGAGCATGACAAAGAAGGACTGGCATCCACGATCTCCAGCCTCCAAGGCAGTAGTATTATTTCCTCGAGAGCTTCCGTTGTGGCGCATTCATGGCCGCGGACTAAGACCTTTCTGGTTCTGTCTCTGCAGTGGAAATGTCGGAGTTGAGATCGAAGCAGATATACCTCGACGCTAAACGGCGAGAGGCTCTCGACAAGATACTAGACATCAAAGGTGATTCGCATCATAGCTTGCATCTGCCACTGCATTTCCTTCTGAACCAGTCTGGTTTCTTGCTCTGCAGGAAGCATCAGGGTGTTCTGCCGAGTCAAGCTCATGGATGAGAGAAAGGCGGCGTCGCCCATCTCCACCGAAGCAGACAAGATCACTGTTCGATCGGCCGGAACGAGGAAGGAATTCGTCCTCGACCGGGTGTTCCACCCGGAGTCAACGCAAGGTGATCGACCAAATGTTCTCCTCTTCTTTTCTGGGAGAAATCTACGCATGCAGCTAAACGAACAGTTCCTGGATTCTTACTGCAGAGGATGTCTTCCGAGAAGTCAAACCGATCCTGAGATCTGCGCTCGATGGTCACAACGTCTGCATCTTAGCATATGGTCAGACTGGAACGGGGAAGACGCACACAATGGTGGATCTTCTTCTTCTCTGCTACACGCCGATTTTATGCCTTTCTACCAGATGATGCTGATCATGGAAGTGTGATTCTTCAGGAAGGAAACAATGGCCGTCCGGGGATCGTTCCTCGAGCCATAGAAGAACTCTTTCATCAGATTTCTCGGGACGAATCAGCTTCGTTTACCTTGTCGATGAGCATGCTTGAAGTCTACATGGGAAGCCTCAGAGACCTGTTCGTCCACAGGCGATCTCCAGCTCGAGTCACGCATCGGATTCCTAAATGGTATGCCGCCCTTATCTTGTACGCCCATCATCATCCTGCTAATCACATCGTTCGTCTTGGCAGCAATCTCAGCATCCTGAGGAGCAGCGACGGCACGGTGGAGATCGAGGGACTCACAGACGTGCAGGTGACCGACGTGAAGCAGGCTCGCCGGTGGTATGCCAGGGGGAAGCATGCTCGCTCTACCTCCTGGACTAACGTCAACGATGCCTCGAGCCGGTCGCACTGGTGAGCTGCTCGGCTGTCCCGGATCTACGAAGCACTCGGTCATCGTCTCATTCCTTCTGGTTCCGAGTGTAGCTTGACCAGAATTACCATCTCTCGATCGAACGACGCGGTGGACGGCACTAACAATCTTGTTAGCAAGATTTGGCTGGTGGATCTCGGCGGCAGCGAGCGCTTACTGAAGACAGGCGCCACCGGACAGACGCTGGACGAAGGGCGGGCGATCAATCTATCGCTATCTGCGCTTGCTGATGTTATTGCTGCTCTAAGAAGGAGGCGCGATCACATCCCTTACAGGCATCTCCTCGCTGTAATCCTTGTCACATTTGCATCGCAGATTTGCTGTCTCTCGTTGTGATCCTTCTCTGCACGTATACTTGCAGGAACAGCAAGCTCACTCAGCTCCTCAGCGACTCGCTAGGTGCAGAACCTGCAACTGAGTTCAGAGCATCGATGGCAATTCTGATAAGGATCTTTTGGTTACTAAGTTTGCTGCTTTGGTCTTCGTAGGAGATGGGTCGAAGGTTTTGATGATCGTGCACGTCAGTCCTGGCGAAGACGACGCAGGGGAGACTGTATGTTCTCTGAGCTTTGCTACGAGAGTCAGAGCTGTGGAGGCAAGCAGAGAGCTGTCAGAGGTAACGTCTTCCTGCTTGATGTAATGCCTCAATCAGTAGATTCTTAGCCAGCGATTCCTGCGTGGCTCAGGACACCAAGAAACGGAAGCAGCAGCGCGTCGCAGAGCTCGAGCAGGGAGTCCAAGAGGCCGAAGAAGAGCTGCGGAGGGTGAGAGACCAGATGGAGAGGACCGCGAAGCTGATCCAGGAGAAGACGAACACCTTGCGAGTTGATCTAAGGGGATCACCGAGAAGCCCCCTGACACTAAACCCTGTGGAACTCGACGGAGGAGACACCAAGACGGCAGAGAAGCCAGTGCAAAGGGCACGCGCAGCTCCGGTTCCTCGTTTCATGTCCTCCACGGCGTGCAGCCGGCGGCGGCAGCAGCAGGCTGCAGAATCACTGGGCAGGGCGAGAAGGAGATCGACGGATTTGCGTGGATCGCAGTCGCACAGCTGCTATCAAACGTCAAAGAAGATGACAGTGGCATACAGGCGAAGAGATCCGCCATTGTCATTGCAGTGTAATCCACTGAACGTGAGCCACGACAGCGTGGATTCAAGGGGATCCTGGTCATCGTCGAAGACCAAGAAGGTCTCTAATTCTAATCCTAATCTGAGAGTTGCATTGCATCAGCAGCATCGAAGAAGGATGTCTGATCTAATCTAAGTCGATGTTTGGTGTAGAGTAGTTCGCCTAAGCCGCATCTTTCTTCTTCTCTTCCTCGAGGAAAGGCATGTTTCAATGAGATGGCTTGATCATTCTTTTGGCTATGTCAATGATTCCCTTTGCTTGGCACTGCTGGTTGTGATCATGTTTTCCTGTGGATTTGCTTGCAGCTAAGCTCATATATCACACCAAGATGATTGCTAATCCATTCCTTCGGATATCATTTATCATTATAAATCTGAATCACAAATAAAAAATGCTCACGCTTAAAGCTATATCCATTCTATCCCTATAAATCAACTAAACTGCTACTAATTTCAAATGCTAGAAAGCATGGTGAGCCACATGCTATGGAATCATGAGACTTGAAGAGAATGGGGACAACCTAAAAGCTTGGGTCCTCTGATTAATATATACAGATCCTATATTTTGTAGTGGGATGTTGGATCCAAGATGGGTGGAGGATAACATCATATTCTAACTGATGAAATGTTTTCAAGTAGATGGCTGAGCCCCCACAATTGGCAGATGGTCAAACTGTACTATAGGATTCCAATTTAAAGTACAATTGAAGAGGATAGTTGAGATGTGAGAAAAGGACTGAAACCTAGCAAGAAGACAGTAGAAATTCCAGACCTAGTAGCTCTGGCTCCATCACAACACAATCCAACAATAAGTCTACTGCATATTTGTAGTTTTGCTATCAGAAATTTCTGTAAACAAGTAAGAGAGATAAGACTTTGAGCTATTGATTATCTCAATGTTGAATTTGCCTTTATTAACCTCTCACACTATCCTTTTCTTCCTCCTATTTGTTCACATTTGCTTTGAGGTTTTCCTGAGAGAGATTATTCATGCAATATGGATATCTGTATCTACCTAAAACCTTATCTGAATCTGTATACCTCATACATCTGTATCATAGCCATATCAACACAAATAACTACAAATCTTTATGCATTTAACATTCTTGCATGACTCATTGCACCTGACTTGGGTAAAGAATTGGCTTTCTCACTATCCAATCTTATCAGACAAGCCTTCATTACATAATACCATGTGAAAATTTACAATGAAGAAACATATTTGATAGTATTTTGCTTCTTCCCTAAAAAGTTTGAAGGATATTGAATGATTCCAAAGTGCAGGGTGGATTAGAATCAGCATGTTTTTGGTTCAAGAATAAAGAAGATCATGAGAATAAAGGAGAGTTTCAGTCTGAAGCATTGAACTTGGAAGTGGAAACCATTTCCACAGTTCTTCTAAAAGAATCTACATTTCAAACCATCTGACTACTCTGTTTTATTTGCAAAGTAAAGGGAAAAAATCTCACTAATTTAGCACAATTAGTTAGGCAATTTCTAAGAAGTTTCAAATGCACACTATGAGGAGGTAATAGGAAAAGAAAACACTACTTATCGACAATAAAGCTGAAGTCTTATAAATCTGAAATAGTTAAATCTAAAATCCGTACTGATAAGGTATATTTTGGGGTCAAGCCACATCACGATCGATGCCATGTCACGCTACAGTCAAGTCAGCAAGAGGAGCACCGCCCGTCGAGCTAGAATCCGTACCAAGGTGCTGCTCGGTACGTCCCATCCCGGAAAGCCCGGGACGACGCCGCATGGCGTCATTACGTGCGCCTCGGGACGACGACCGCATAAAGATATCATCTCACCCCTCGAGGATCGATTGTCACGCCAAACCCGCGTACGACCGACCCTCGTACAGTAATATAAAAACCCCTGGCTGGCATCCGACCCAGGAGGAGGTAAAACAAATCAACCCACGACTGACTTGCTCGTCGAAGGGGCCACAGTCGGCAATCACCCAACGAAGGTCATCATTACAGGAAAGCGGCCACCCTCGAGCCACGAGCATTCCGACCTTAGAGTCATCAACTAGCATCCCGATAATGAGCCATCAACTGACGTCCGGACCGAGAGATGCTGATCAACACCCTGGCAACGACACCTCGATTCCAAGGGCTTGGTCAACCTTGGCAACCAGCTCTGCCGACCGAAGTCTCCCGACATCAACCCGTGGACCGGGTCTTGCTGACTCATCAGCCATGACGTATCAGTTCCTCAACATTTTTAGGCCATCCTCGTAGGAAAGCGGTCACCCTCGAGCCACGAGCATTCCGACCTTGGAGTCGTCGACCAGCATCCCGACGGCGAGCCATCAACCGACGTCCAGACTGAGAGACACTGATCAACACCCCGGCAACGACACCTCGATTCCACGGGCTTGACCGACAACAAAGCTGAAGTCTTGCAAATCTGAAATAGTTAAACCTAAAATCCATACTCTCCTGTAAGTTCCATGAACCCAGCCGATGGAAGATGATCGCTTGACAAAATGATCGGATTACATATCACAAATTACTAATTGGAAGATAAACGATAGAAATCTCATGTCACCTTAAGGTCCAAACGCACAATGGGGTGTCAAATCTGGGGCCAGCACTCGTCCGATCGATGTGGAGCTTCTCGACAGGACAATTATCAGGTTGCAGCTCCAACGGCCCATCGGGGAACATCGCCGTCCGATCGGCGGAGGGCCAGGGGAGGCTGCCGTCCGTGGAAAGCCTCACCGTATGAAAGAGTCGAGAAAGTGAAGAGGACCGTACGAAAGAGTCGAGAAAGTGAAGAGGCGCTCCTCCGCCTCGACGTTGAAGCCAGCTCGGATCTCGAGATGAACGGTCTTAAACTGAGATGCGTGTCCACGAAGACATCCGAGCCGTTGGATGCTTCTCCGGGACGAAACGAACACCAGCGTGAGCGGGGAAACGCTTAAGCGATCCCATAAGTAAGTCCTAAAATTATTTTTATTTAAGGAAACATCCTAAAATAAATATTTATCTTTAAATTCAAGTTTAGCATATAGATTTTATAAAATCATAAAATTATTTTTTATTAGTTTTGAAGTTACTAATAGATCATTATAACGTCTTGTCCACATTGTGTTTTGTCTATAAATATTAATTTAAGATTAATTATATATTATCTCTTATAGTTAGTTATTTTTAGTATCTGGATCTTTATACTTTTAAAATTTATATTAAAATTTTTATACTTATAAAAGTGAAATGTTTAATCTCATTTATTCTTATATCGTCAACTCTGTTAATAAAAATATCAGTTACATACAGAAAATAATATTAAAATAGAGTTTACAAGATAATTTCATAGTCTATTCTTACCATCCAAAGAATATATATATATATATATATATATATATATATATATATATATATATATATATATATATATATATATATATATATATATGAGTTTTGTTGGGAAACAAAATTAGACAAATAGTGCTATTTAATTACTCCACTTTTCTCTCTGTACTTAATGGTTTTGTTAGAAAGTAAAGCATTCGATAGGAAAAGAAAGCACAAAAGTTATAGAAAGAAAAATTAATATCGATGAGAATATATTATAAAATTATCTTTTTACCCCTTTGTTAGCATCATTTTTCATACGTGACGAAAGCACATGTAGTATTTTTATCAACAAAATCAACGGCATGAGGAGGAATAAGATTATGTTTTATTTTCATAAGTATAAGAATCTGAATATAACTTTTAAAAATATAAGAATCAAAATGTTAAGGATAACTAATTACACAAGTAATCTATAATTACCTCGTTAACTTGTAACATCAAGATTATCATCTTTAAATTCAAGTTTAGCATATATGTATATATATGTATATATATATATTATAAAATCATAAAATTATTTTTTATTAGTTTTGAAGTTACGAAATATTGTCCACATAATATTTATGTGTTTTTGTCTATGAATATTAATTTAAGATTAATTACATATTATCTTAGTTATTTTTAGTATTTTGATTCTTTTACTTTCAAAAATTATATTAGAGTTTTTATATTTATAAAAGTAAAACATTTAATCCCATTTATTCTTATGACATCGACTCTATTAATTAAAAATATGACACATATTATTACATACAAAAATAACATTAAAATAAGATTTAAAGATAATTTCGTAGTATATTCTCACTATCCAAAGAAAAAAAATAAAAAATAAATTTTGTTAGGAAATAAAATTAGACAAATAGTACTATTTAATTACTATACTTTTCGCACCGTAAGTTATGAAAAAAAAAATTAATATCAATAAAAATAGATTATAAAATTATCTTTCTAATCCTATATCATTTTTCGCACGTGACAGTATGCGCAATATCTTTTTGTTAGCAAAATTAATGGTATGAGAAGGAATAAATTTAAATATTTTTATTTTCATAAATATAAGAATTCGAATATAATTTTTTAAAAATATAAGGATCAAAATATTAAGAATAACTAACTGATTAATTTGCAACATCAATCTTTAAACTTTACACGTCAGCCGTCATGCCATCAATCTTCTATAATCTCATACTACAAACGTTGCGTTGAATATATATATATATAGCTAATTAAAATTTATATGGTCAAAATTGTTACTTCCTAACTTCGAACAGCTAAGCCGCCATCGTGTCAAACTTGCATCGCTTCATATCGAGAATCTCGTGAATAATGTCATCTTCTTTTTCCTTTCATTATTAATCATTAATATATATATATATATATATATATATAATTTAATTGACGTTTATAATGATAAAAATGAACATAATAAAAGAAATGCCACTTTCCAGACTTTGCACGCCTGCCGCCACCGAGTCAGACGTTCCAACTCACCGTGCCGGAAATCTCGTGATGGATGTCCTTTTTCTCCTTTTATTTTTATAATAAAAAGAAATTAAATTTCTATTTATTGACAAACATATATACAAAATAAGGATTCAATAGATATATATTTCAAAATACATAATAAAAAATATTAGCGAAAAAATGACAACCACGAACGTGTCACGATGGCTTATTGTGGACACGTGACAAGCCAGCAGATCAACTGCAACGTAGAGGACAGCAAACACATTATGCCTCGGACGGATTCCGGAAGCTAAAATTGGCCGTGCATATATGCCCTCTATAATCATTGACAGCAGCCCACGGCTTCCATCTCCTCGCGGCCAAGAAGCCGAGGTTGGATTCGCATCGCCTTCTACGCTGAGATCTTTGTCGGGAGTGTTGTGGCCGGGGGGAATGCCATGGCCTTCGGTTGGGGAGCGGTGATGATGAAGCTGGGGCTCTCGAGACTCGAGGCCTCCGATCACGCGTCGGTGGTGTCGATCAACATCTTCGTGACGCTCATCTGCGCCTGCATCGTGATCGGCCACCTGCTGGAGGAGAACCGGTGGATGAATGAGTCCATTACTGCTTTGATCATCGTGAGTCTCCGCTTGCTTTTTTCTTGTTCCGTTGGGGTGAGATGGGATCTTTCTGGTTTTTGGCCCAAGAGATGAGGTGAATCGGGGTGGGTTTGATCGCAGGGGCTGTGCACCGGCTTCATAATTCGTCTCGCCACACGAGGGAAGAACAACTCTCATATAATGGTGTTCAGTGAAGATCTCTTTTTCATCTACGTCCTCCCACCGATAATTTTCAATGCCGGGTATGTTCTCCTGTGCTACATCGATTCGACTTGTTCCTTCTACTGCCCCCAAACAGGTGATCTGTAGGTTTGCTCATCTCATCGAGTTAAACTGCGTCAAGGTTGGTTTTTTCAGATGAACTATGATTGTGATGTTGGGTTAGTTGAACTGTTACTTCGTTGCTCTGTTCATTAGCTGTGTATGTTGGATAAAATTTCTTTGCTTCAGACATGAACAAGGTGTTATTACTTTTATGAATCACACTATTAGGTAGTTTCTTTAGTTTCACTTGATATTGTATATCTAACCAAATTTGTTCTTGTCAATCTAGCTAAATGGGAATAAAAGTTCCAGGAGAAAATAAAAGAAACGAATCCTCCAGTCAATTCTTGTGCTACCTTCCCTGAGGGCTGTGTTTGTTCTGGTTTCAGGAGGAACACTTCTTTTGTTTCAAACACAAAATCTATGGGAAACTCTGACTAATTCATGTAGGTACTGACAACTAGGTTAAAAGAGTAATTTTATATCATGAAATGCGTGGCATTGATAATGTCTTGTGATATGAGGTGTTTGATGAAGCAGGAGAAAGGTATTCATACTTCTTCAGTGAAATATCCAATCTAAAAGTGATTAACGTGATAGTGAGAATCAAGGATGCCCATCTTGTAAATGCAACTGAGCATAGTGTCAGTGCATATCTACCATGTTCATTTACCAATTCCTAGCATATATCTTCGTATGATAACAACATGAACAAATCTGCATTGAGCCAATGGCTGGCAAGTCCCATCATTATATCAAGCATTGTTTGATCTTACTGGAGTCTTAGCAGTGTTCACACTAAGTATAGATGATAAATTGCTGAAGTAAACATTGAGATTTGATATCATGCTGGCAGATCCATCGAGCACAGTTTAAATGTCTGTCCAAACAAGCTAGTGTTGTCACAATTTAGAACTTGTTGAATATCTTAAATTAGCAAAGATGGTCACAATTTATTTATTTTTATTTAAAGCATTTGATCCTTTGTCCCAGTGATGATGAAGATGAGTTCATTTGTCATTCTAACACGTGAATTTTGACTATTTTTGTCATGGCTCCAGTAGCCTAAGCCTGATTACTTGCATGAATATGGCTTAGCCACTTGGCTGAAATGCCAAACGTCAAATATTAGGAACAGACCATCTAGTTGATATCCTTTTTAGGACATCACATGTGGCCCAGCTTGCTCATGTGGTCTACGTGGATGGTCCACAACTTAGCTTTCCTATCATCTTCAAGGATCCAAGTGGAAAGCAATTATGCTACTTGCATGGAGTGGGTGCAGAGACATGTCTCAGAAAGCTCAAGTCTAAGTTAACAATAGTAGATGAAAAATTTTGTGTATACAGGTCCAACTTTTTGTTTCTTGTAGTGTGGTAATCATGGTCTTAAAATCTCATTAGATTTGAGGATTTGGTCCTTGAGTGGCACGGTTCATGTTCCTTCTGTGGCATGAGAATTTTAGTGTGTGTGGCACCAGGTATGTTCCCACAAGAAAAATTAATGGTATAGAGCAATGTGATATAAAGACGTGTGTGATGCAGCCTCCTGTTTGGCATCCGTTCTCTTCTCCGATCCTGTCCCCAGTGCTGAGAAGCAGCAGTGGCGTTGATGCTTTATGCGGCTACAAAATGACTTGTTCCTAAGGTGAGTGAGTGTGAATGTAGGCTGAACAGAATTCAACCAACAAAGGCCCAAGTTTCATGCAAAATAGCCTGATTCAAGCCAATTATATTATAATATATGGTTTTTGCAGTATTCAGTTTGAAACATTGATCGTTGGGGGTAATACTAATCATCACAGTTTTTCTCATTAAACATTTACTGTTAGCTATCTGTTGGCAAAAGGAATATAGAAAAAATTGGACCATGTTCATTAACCATCTGGCATCATTTCAATATAAATAATTCATGTATTGTTTGTTTTACAGACTTCAATTTAATTTCAAGTTCAGCCTTCTTACCAACGTGTTAGAATTGGGAACTTACGGTTATTAAGGCACATGCCTTTCATTTTATTAGCTAGTCAATAATCCACTTCAACTACTAGAAACTTGCTTTTCATATTATATTTCTTAAAATTATCAGGATTCTGTTGTTTCCTTTGGATTTATATTTATCATATGCCACTATGGATTATGGTTATTATTACCGTTATTGTGACTTAACCTTGTATAGCTAACCAAGTTCAAGCCCCTTCTTGCTCCATCATATGTGTCTTGTCTCTTGTTTTTTCTGCAAGTACACTTAGATTAACTAAACTCTTAGATTTTCGAGAAAAAATGGCTATGTCAAATATATTTAAAAAAGAAACTTGTTTGCTTGTGGACCAGGTTCCAAGTAAAGAAAAAACAGTTCTTCCGCAACTTTATTACAATTATGCTGTTTGGTGCAGTTGGGACATTGATCTCCTTCGTCATAATCTCACTTGGTAAGGAAACAAGGATTTACATGAGTTGACATGCACAAGCTTGTCTCCGTCATTTGGACATCACATTATCTTCTTCAAATAGTTGCATTTTCTAAGTTGTGAACTGGATTTTTCAGTTATACATGTTGCTATATTTTAAGGGAAAATCATGATGTTAGCTTCTCTTTTTCATCATTTATGGTTAGTAAGTGACTCATTGATAATAATTTGCTAAAATGGATTGGAAACAAAGCTAACCTAACAGACAATCAAGACATCCAAAAACATCAGTGTTGCTGATCTAGAGTCACTGTAGAATTAACGTGAAGGGTTATCATTTTTTATTGACTTAGGTTATGGTTGAAGATTATCAGCTGGTCCTGTCCCTAAAAAAGTCTAATAGGACTCTTATGAGCAAGAAATTGAAGCATACAGTTAAATGATCAAGTTCTAGCTTGTGGTTAAGTTGGTGAACTTTGGTGGTAGTATCTTAAGTAGCTCACAGGGAAGCTATGCCCTAATACAGGATCTAAGAAGTGATTTTACATGTCTATAATAAATTCGTATTTAAATTCTTTATCTGCCTTCAATTTTTAGGCAATCAACATATTCCTGTGAATTTCAGCAATATTTTCTTCTCTTTGAATAGTTTATGTACATTTACATGATCAGGATCATGCATTTCCTTCCTCTCTTTTGATTTTGTGAATGCAACAAAATTTACACGGTCAGGTTACTTCATTCTTGACCTCAATTTTGGTTCAGGTGCCGTGGAATTTTTCCGAAAAATGGATATAGGTGCACTAGAAGTCGGAGATTATCTTGGTAAATACTCTTGCAGTGCACTCTTTGCTTGATACTATACATAATTTACTGACTGCTCTCTTGCTCTTGCTATTGTTCATTTTTTTTATTATTTTATTGTTTATACAGCAATTGGGGCAATCTTTTCTGCAACAGATTCTGTGTGCACTTTGCAGGTTCTCAATTATAGCAGATATGATTTACATGTTTCTTATATGAGGCAAAACATAACTGATTCTAGAATTTTTGTTACTTGAAAATCAGGTGCTTAACCAGGACGAGACACCTTTGCTCTATAGCTTGGTCTTTGGTGAAGGCGTTGTAAATGATGCTACATCAGTGGTGCTTTTTAATGCACTCCAGAATTTTGATCTGGTTCATGTTGATGCCACAGTTCTGTTGAAATTTGTTGCTAACTTCTTTTATTTATTTGCTAGTAGCACCTTGCTTGGAGCACTTGTAAGTTTTGATTAGTGAACAGTGATAATTTATTATGAACATGTCTGCTGCTTTACTGGTTATATTTTTTGGCTGATATGTTTCCCTCTGGCTTGCAGACAGGATTGCTTAGTGCTTATATTATTAAAAAATTGTACTTTGGCAGGTTTGTGAAAAGAAAGTCATACTTTTCTCTATTCCGTTTTTCACATATTTTCCACATGTAGGAAAGTATTCATAGCATAGCACCATTGTAGAGGATTAAAGGTTCAATTGAATGTTGCTGTGTTTTTTTAGAACCTGATCTGATTGTAAATAAAATATCCTAAATTGGTCTTGCTCTAAATATATCTTTGCTTGCTTTTGCTTCTGACCCCTATCCAGACATTCAACTGATCGAGAAGTTGCTCTTATGATACTCATGGCTTACCTTTCCTATATGCTGGCTGAAGTGAGTTTCTTCTTCAAAATCACTATGCAAACATCAGTTTTCTTACATCTCCAGTATGCTGGATTTGGTTGAGATTAGACTGAGATCATTGCTTCTAAACCTTGATTTGTATTGCAGTTGTTGAACTTAAGCGGAATTCTTACAGTATTCTTCTGCGGAATAGTAATGTCACACTACACCTGGCATAATGTGACAGAGAGTTCTAGGATCACCACAAAGTACATTATTATTGTTTTTTTCTGTAACTATCAGCATATGTTGCTGCTTCTCGTCCTAAGCTATCTCCATTTCAGGCTTGTATAAAAGACTAAAATTTTTTGACCTTTTATTGCTTGTCTTTTCAGGCATGCCTTTGCAACATTGTCATTTATTGCTGAAGTTTTTCTTTTTCTCTATGTTGGAACGGATGCATTAGACATTGAGAAGTGGAAATTTGTCAGTGACAGGTTCGCTATGTTTCTGATCACAACATGTTTTGCATAGGTCATACAGGTCATTATAGAACAGAACAATACAGTTTCATGATTCTTTCAGCTTTTTATTTCATTGACTAGCAGATGCCAATATTTTTGTCAATTCCTAATTGTTATATTTCAATCCATTATGTCCTTTTATGATCAAAATTACTTATTTTTTTATAATGTTCTGGATCTATTGAAATAAATAACTTTGGTTCATTCAATTATAAGAAAAGTTAAATTACAAGAAAATTTTGGTTCAAAAGAAGCCTTTTCTGAGCATGATATCAACCTTTTATTGCTAATCTATGCTCCTACAGGTATTAAGAGTGTGAAAAAAAGTGTGTCCTGATATGACTTTTGCCATCATGTGTCAGTCCAAACTTTATACTAAATAAATTTTTTTATGATGGGTACCTAATACAAAATTGTACCTTAAAATTTTCCTTTCTTCAATCATCAATTTCAGAAAAAATGCTCGAAACATATATTATCTGTGTTTTCTGCATACATTGGTTTGTTAATGCTATGTGATTGATTACCTGGGTAGCTAACCATGTCTCCTGCTCTACAGCCCAGGAAAATCACTTGGAGTGAGCTCAATTCTGCTAGGCTTGGTATTGGTTGGCAGAGCTGCTTTTGTCTTTCCACTGTCCTTCATCTCCAATTTGTTTAAAAAATCTCAGAATGACAAGATTACCTTCAAGCAACAAGTAACTTTTTCGACTCTTATTTACTCTGCTTATTTTGGACCATTTGTTTGCATCTCAAGTCTTTTGACATGTCTTGGGTTACCAACAGGTTATAATTTGGTGGGCAGGTCTTATGAGAGGCGCGGTATCAATTGCACTTGCTTACAATCAGGTCAACATGATCTTGCATCAATAAAATGGATAGCTGTTATTTTCTAGCGCAAGAAGAATTCTTTTACTGTTTCATAATTATCGTCAATTGCATGGGCATTCATTGTCTTCACTTCCTCTTTTAAATTTGAAAATCAAGAGAAAATTTATCCTTTGTTCTTGGTTTTTAAAAGCAAAAGCAGGTTTTATTGGTCAAGGTTTAAAATGTCAAATACTGGCCTGTATTGGTACCCTCTTGGACCTACTGTGTGTGTTAGGAACATTGTATACTTTGGCATCTCAGTAGGTAAAAATAAATAAATTATTGGTTAAAGTCTTGCTGTAGTCTTGATAGGCTACAATAAATTGTTTGATGTTATCTATATATTGTGTTAGCTGTGAAGCAGGGATTTTGCTTGAAGGGGTCTGTCTTTGCTTTCATTTTAATCCTTTTTTAAAATTTTTGGTAGCAGAGAACTTTGCTAATGCAAATTACGAAAACAATGGAAATATTTGAAATTTTAGAACAAAATCATCATTGTGAAACAAATGGGTGCAAATTGGATTCGTACGTCTCTTCATAGCACACGTGGTCTTTGTGCACCATGGTGGATGTAACTCAACAAATGGTGCATTCCAAGTGCCATGCTACCATATAAAATCTAGATGTGGGTCTTGTATCACTTGTTAAAAGGTGAGTTTCAGAATATGACAATGAAACATGGAGGATTTGGAATGGTAAACATAAGGTGTTAGGCAAGACTTGCCCCCACCATGTCACAGATGGCTACCCAAAAATTCTATCCCATGCCTGACTTGAATAAGCATTACTATGTTCCAAGATTATTCTCTCTATGTGAACCATTTCTAGATTGAAACAGAATACGAGAAATGGAATATTATCATTTAAATTAGTAATAGATTCAGTTGGTACATCAGATTGTACTTGCAAGCTTATACATCCTTTTTTCTAAAATTTTTAGATAGTTGATTATATTGGCATCAAATTATGTTTACATACTGAGAAGTACTATGATATAAACATGTCAAGTACTGTGCATATTCTGCAAGTATATATCATGTTATAGATTATTGCTTGTCAAAAAACTTGCAAGATTTTTATGCTGATAAAGTGATAAATGCTACTTCTGCAGTTCACTAGATCTGGTCACACTCAGCAGCGTGGAAATGCATTTATGATCACCAGTACCATCACGGTTGTTCTTTTCAGTACAATGGTAAGATATATTCCATCTCCCAGAGGCCTGGTCCTAGAACAGTGTGATGCTAGCTCAATTATTGAATTGCAGCATTGGCTTTGTTATAACTATGTATTGGTTTTCGGCTGTTGGATGTTGAATGCTATAAAGCTTCCCCTAGTATGTTTCATCTATTCTCTTTGGGTTTGCTTTCTCTGCCGGAAAAGATCCACTTAACTTTGTTATAATCGTTTATGTTGAAATGAACTTCATTTGTCTAATGCAATGCTCCTATGATACAAATTCTAAGTGATGGTTCTTTTTTTTAAGATAAAAAAATTATTTACTTATGTAACTTTAACTTACCATCATTTGGGATCTGCTATGAGTATTTTCGTCTAGAGCATCTTATATACTTCATTCAATCTACCCTTGAAAGCAAATGATAAATATGCTGGATGTAGTATCCTACCTTTGTACAGAGGTCATGTTGGTGAGGAGCTTATGTCTTGTTAACTGGGTTTGATTTCTGATCTGTTCTTGTTCTGCTAAAGAAAAAAAAAATGAATATGTGAAATTGTCTTCTTTAAGATGACCACAAAAACACATCAAATTTTTGTTGTTTGATTGTTCTAGTATGTTTGTATTTTAAATTTTATTTGCTGATGCTTTTGTTGTTTGCTTAGGTGTTTGGTTTGATGACCAAGCCTCTTATTTACTTCTTGCTGCCTCCAAACTCGAAGCACCTCACCAGATCTCTGAGTGTTTCATCTGAGCCCTCAAGTCCAAAGTCTTTCCTTTCTCCGCTACTAGGCAATGGTCAGGGATCCGAGCTTGAAGCAGCGCAATGTATACCTCGCCCAACGAACCTCCGAATGCTTCTGACAACACCATCCCGCTCTGTTCATCATTATTGGCGCAAGTTTGATGACGCGTTTATGCGTCCAATGTTTGGTGGCCGGGGTTTCGTTCCATTTGTTCCTGGTTCACCGGTCGAACGTAGTGTCCCCGAGTGGGAATAATCCAAAAAAATCATTATTCCAAGATAAAATCAAATTGCTCCTGGTATAGTCAGTACTCGATGCCTTCCAGATAGATGCATATCTGACTACGGAAAACTCTAGAATTTAGTATAATTTTGCCACTTTGTATCATGATCAACACATATTTTTAGTATCTTTGTGCATGTATATTGGATCTTGTCGAGATCTTAGCAGGATCTATTCGCTTGTATCGACTACCAATTGCTAGCAAGTGTGTATCTCTATGCTTTCAAAGGATGTATGATTTACATACAGAAGTACCTTTGCTGTATATTCAATATTTGTATTTTATGACCATGCTTTTCGGTTTTTCTCCATGCATTTGGAAATGGAAGATAGCACAAAAAGAAAGTATCCAAATTTGATCATCATCAGATGAACAGCTGCTGCATGCTGTTGAAATATATCATGTCTTTTGAGAACTGTATAAAGCTGTATGGAAAAGGTTACCATAGATGCATACATTTGCAGTGAGACAATCAAATATAAACCTGAATCAAATTCTTATTGATGAAGTTAGATTTGATCATCTTTAAGTTGACATATGACTTTTTAGGATCATCCCACCTGAATGCATACAAAATATTAATTACTTCAAGGAGTTATATGATAATTTGTTTTATTAGTTGGATTAATCACACTCCTTTTACACACACACATTTATTTTAAATTGGTATATAATTTTAAATTTCAAGTGTGTTTAGATGCATAGTTGATCGGATTAAGAAAAGTGAGAATTAATCTATTGATCGATCCGATCTACTTATCGAATTGATTTTTTTTAAATTATAAGAATAAATTAATAGACTCGTTGGATTTATAGTCTAATCACTTGAATACTATTATTTTATGATACTCTTCAATACTTAACTACATTTTTTTTTTCATCGTATTATTCGATACTAAATGATTAGGATATTTGGAGTAATTTCAACGTTTCAGGGATTTTTATGTAATTACAAAACTTGTGAGGGATGATATCGAAAACTTTCTTTCCTCGTAAATCCCCATTCGGCAAAACCCTAACTCGACCATTTTTGTCTGTCTTAATCAAACCGGCCTGCATAGTTAAACGAGATCGAAGGAAACTGCGATCGGGGGAGGAACGGAGGTCTCATTCTCTTTCCCCTGACCGATTCGCCATGAACATTCTGAAGAGCTTCCCCAGTAGCGGTAAATCGATCCCCTAATCGATTCGGATGCGAATTTGCTTCGTTTTTGTGATGGTTTTTGCTTGAATCTCACATCAAAAGCTGAATCCGTCCTCCCCGATGTCCCATTGTTTGATTCAAGTAGCTCGGCGTGGCCGCTTCCTGGCTCTGCTCACCAAATCCCGGCCTTTCTCGGTGGACACGGCGGAGTACGCGAAGAGGAACTACGCCAGCAATGTCTCCGAGTACAACACTGTCATCGGATCCCTCATCGCCCAGCGAAGGCAAGCTCGCTTGTTTCCCTCATTTCCTGTGTCACTCGATGCTGTGCTTTTACTAATTCTCATGGTATTTGTAACGTATGTTTTAGAGGATACTTGTTGAGGGATGTGTATGATGATATGATGCTGGATGGAGTCCAGCCGGTGCGGGACACCTTCCACGCCCTTATCGTCGGCACCATGAAGGGGAGTCGGCTCCAGGATGCCTTCTTCTTTCGGGATGAAATGAAAGCCATGGGCTTACCCCCTGATGTCAGTTCCTTTTAAGACTTCCTCTTCTTATTTGTTAGTTATTGTTGTCTGTTCAATGAGTTGTGATGACTGTAACTCCTCGAGATCTTAGGTTTAGGGGTTTGTTAAGCTTTGGAGGTAATGGAGTTGAAATTTTATTAAAATTTCAACAGGTTAATCTGTACAACTTCTTGATATCAACTTGTGGGAAATGCAAGAGCTCTGATACGGCGATCAAGGTGAGTTTTTCTTTTGTTGTCAGCTTCCATGAATTTCTTGTCTTACTAAGTTTCCTGATTTATGTGAGGAAGGTTTAGCAGGTAATGAAGATTTTGTGTTTGCTACTTGTAACTTATTACCCTCCAAAACATTGTTCACATTTGATGATTCTATTTTGTTCTTGGAAAAGCTTTTGGAAGAAATGAAGAGGCACAGTGTAAAGCTGAAAGGTGAAACCTACATTTGTCTCCTCAACGCTCTTGCAGCAACAGGCCGGACCGACCAAGTGTATGTCTATTCATGATATATATTAACCTACTAGCTGTTTACAGGTTGCTTCATAAACTGGACTGGAAGCCAGTGGAATGATTCTGTCTTGTAGAGACATTTTAAACACACAATACATCTGAAT